TGATCTCGTTTGCCTTCTGCAAGTGTCTATCTGTATCTGTGCACCGGTATCGGTGTCTATGTATCTGTGTGCATTAGTAAATTTGATATATTCATTTTGGTTATCTGAACAAACGCATCTCCTCTGCTGCGATTTTCATTGATTTATGACCGCTCTGCTTTATTGAAGGGCAGAAATATGCGAGTAAATAAAAATGTATCTGTATTTTTTCATCTCTTAAATCGTATACAAGTTTAATTAAAACTGCCCTAAACATAAAGCGAAATATTTGTAAAAATATGTTATTTTTAATTTATTCTTAAAATTAAATTTTGACTACCAATTCCTATTTTAATAGATATAAGATTAGATTATATTTTAAAAATACATCAATCAAGAACCTTACAAATTAAACATTTATGTTTAAAAATGACAGAAGATTATTTAATATTTTCTCTATACATCTAAAAATAATTCATATACATTTTCGAACCATCCTTGGATTTTGAAAATCCAATTTCGAACTTGTTATAAGCTTTTCGGCCTGCCTCTGGGCCCAAAAAAAATCATAATGATTGTGTAAAAATTTGGGCTATCTTTTGCTGACAGATACGGATACAGAACCCGTGTAATGACCATGTGGGCGCTCATTATTTCTAGCCAGGTTTTTTTCGCGTTCGTTGAACTCGCAACGGTAAATTTACAACGCTCACAACAACAACCTACGCCAACATGTAAAGTTCTAAAGCAAAAGATAAACAGCAAAGCGAAAATTGAAAAACTAGCAGCAACAAAAACGAGAAGATCAACAAACGTCAAACGTCAGCGGCAGGCAACAACAAATATCAACAAACTACTTTGTATTTATAATTATTATCGCAACTCGAGTGGCTGTGTGCGTTCGCTCGCGTATCTCACGGATACTCACATACTCGTTCGGCTTTGCGCAAACTATTTAGAACGTGTAAATTGAACAGAAAAAGCAGAAAAAAAAACTATTTCGCTTACAGCTGAACGTTGAGCGCGGGCAGAGCAGTCGGCAGCGCTGCCGGCGTCGCCGTCTCGCACGATAAGGCGCCACTAACTGAAAGTTGAAGGCCATTACTGATACGCCCCGTGCGCCTCATAAGTATTTTTTACTTTTTTTCTTCGTCTTTATACCCTTGCAAAAGGTGTTTACGTTTTCGTTTGGTGTTTGTAGCTCAGTAAAAATGAACAGATCTTTTTCATCAGATTTCTTTTTTAACGAGAAATGTAACGGATCAAACAATTTTTATCAAAGAAGTTGGTTCATACTATTTTAAACTCTAACTGACATAAAAACGATCGGAGCTAATTTATAAAACTTGAAAATTATTTATTTGATCTTTTTGCCATTTGATTTTCCAAGGTAAAAGAACATCTTGTTAATTAATTAAATAATTCTTAACATCGGAACGACATATACCTATACTAACAGAAAAAAAGCAGACTTTATAAGGGGATGTCTAAAATATGATTTACAAATTATAATCTTTTTGTAAGGCAATGTTACATGATTAAATAAAAGCCTGTCGAAAATATCTTTAAGCTGTCACAGACTTAATTGATTAAAAGTATAAGGGAATAATTAATTCGACTTCTTTATCTGCTTTTATTTGCTTACTGAGTGACTGGCAGTTAGCGTTGATTATCTAAGTTGATGCGTGACAAAATGTTTTTTTTTTCACATTAAATTTTTTTTCTTCTACCTCTTATCTGTATCTTGGGTTTGTATCTGCATCTTGATATTGATTCGCTTAGCGTTACAGCAACACGTTTTAGCTGATGTTGAGCGGCATTTAACATATTGCGCAATTTGCTGATCACACCGCCCCCGCCCCCCGGCCACGCCCACTCGCTGACTCGCTTACTGATAAGCGCTAAAATATTTTTAAACAATTTACGTAAGCGCAACGCTACTGTTGTTTGAAAGTAAAAGTTCTCATTAATTAAACAGAACAATCGGAGAAGCGGCAACAAAAACTCGAGCGGCAACAACATTGTTTGCATTCATAGCAAATTTGCATTGAAAGCGCAAGTGTAAATAAAAACTGCAATCGCATGCAACGCCGACGTCGACGTTGACGTCGACTGCACTGCTGCCCGTCAACGAAAACGAAATTGAATGAAAAAATAAAAATTATAAAAAGCACAATACGTCGAAATTGCTTGGCTTGTGTTTTTTTAACGTTGGCGCCGGCGCTGGCTACGTTGCGTTCTATTTTTTTTTGTAACTTCAACTTTGTAAATAAATGGAGAATAAAGTTATTTAAGAAAAAATGAAAGCTAGAATGACACAATTAAAAGGCAGCTGCGTAAGAGAGATTTTATATATATATACAAAATGATTTATGGACAGCAAAAGTTTATTCTGTGACAGCCTCAAAACCGGATTAAAAAAAACAAAATTTTAAAGGATTGTACTTGTTTATTATAGTTGATTTCAAACTATTAAAAAAAAACATTTTATTTTGAGATATACATGACATTTTGTATGTAATCGATTAATAATCAACTTCTTAAACCGAAATAACATAAAGAGTGAATTTGACTAAATTCCAACATGTTCCTTTTGGGTTAATTATTTGCAGACTTTATTTTCTTTTCTACGAATCATTTTATTCTGCATTAAGTGACAGTTAAAAATGAAATAACGTTGCCTTAAAGCAGTAAACAGCCAAAAAGTACATAAATTTGACAACGTTTATACAAGTTTGATAAAAACGTAATCCTTACAAAGACGGCTGTCTTACTTCTTTCACTTCGTTGAATCAGTGTTTTACTGTATTGACTGGCAATAAATATTGGGTTTCCCTTTGTTATTTTGGGCACAATTATTTATTTTCGTTGTATAATTCATCCATAAATTATTTCTTATCAAGTAACTATAAAAATAAGTAAAATAAATTCATAAATTTATAAAAATTATTTAAGTTTCTATATTTATCATTAAAAACTACAATCATGTAGAAAATATAGATCGATATAAAACACGTAATTGAAACATACCCCTAACAACTTACAGTGGATAAGTACACAAATACTAAAGAGTTTTGAAACCCTTTTAAAAAATACATGATGGCAAAAGAATGCAAAAAGTTGTGGGTCATTGAAATTGAAAGTTCACTTTTAAGGTGATGTTAGTTTACTTGGGCTTCGATTAAAAGCAAATCAAACAAAGAAAGAGCAGATGGTGGGCGGAGAAGAGAGGGAGATAGAAGATCGCCAATAAAAAATGCTTACGACAGCGGCCCCACACGCACACACGCTGTAATTGTTATTATTTCCACAGCATATATATTTGTACGTATACCCAACTGATCTAATCTCTCTCGCACGCGCGCACCCACTCTCGCTCCCGCTTTCTCTCTGTACCCCACTCTCTTTTCTCTATCCAGCCGCATCTCCCCTCTCATTTACTCGCTGTGGGGTGCCTCTTTCTCACGGTCAAAATTCAGTTTGCAAAAAAGTTCTTTGACGTTTTGTTTATTTATTTTGTTAAGCGCTAAGCGTCGCCGGCAAAAGCTTAAAGCTTACTCTTTCACTGGTTTTCCCTCTCATTTTTACTGGGTATTCGTAGAACTCAAGGGTATATCTGGCATCTGGTATTGCCAGATTTTTATTTTATTTATAAAATCATTTATTAGTACTTTTGTTTAAGGAATATCATAATTAGTCTATTTATTTTTGATTGTTTCTTTGATCAAGTCTGCTTTCTATTTAATGTCTAAATGTACAACTGGTTCTGAATTTTAGGGTTTTTGTTAGCATTTACCGGGTATGTGATAGCTGAACGACTCCTCTGTATATCATACATATTAAATTTAACATGGGGGCTGCGACGCATTAGAAAGCAAAAGTGCTTCTTATCAAATTCCTCAATTGCACGCCATATTTTTTGCTGTACCCCCCGTTTACCCCACTAGAACTTTGACCAAAGGCCGTTAAGATTAGGCTGGATTCCAGGCAATTGTAATAAAGAAATATCAACATCAATTCTATTCTAAGGCAGCTCTGTAAGTGGGTGTGAGGGCTCCATAAATTTTGCGAATGATAAGCCACAAATACCATCCATTATGCCACCAAACCCATCTCTCGGTCTGTCAAGCAAATTTGCATGGATTGCTCGTCTATTTGGCCGAGTAATTAACAGTTAGCCAGCAGCCAAACATGGCGGCAACATGGCAAAATGGCAATTAACACTCTAATACAGATGCAACTGTGGAGTTTGGCACCGCAGCAACACACATCGTGCGGTTTGTTATCAGGCACCGGAAATGCAATAAATAATTGAGAACAGCCCCGAGCGTTCGGCAATTGTAATGAGCAATTGTGTTCAATGACAAATTATCATTGGTATTTCTTGTATAAACATAGCACACGCCCACAAAATTTGGGCTAGTGCGGCGATAACGATAACGAGACGGGCTCAAAAAGCCAATTGCTTCCGTTTCCGCTTCCGGTTCCGTTTCCGTTTCTGTTTCGGGAACAATTTACAAAAATAATTGCAAAGGGAATATTTTGACAAAATATTAATCAAGATTAAGAATTAACAGTCATCCGTCCACTTTGGTTCCTTATATGTACATACAAATGTTCTTCTTGGAATCTGTAAAAATTGTGAACTATCGACTTGTACAAATACGTCAAAGATTGGTTTTGAATTATAACCTTATCTCGACGTGACATTCCAAGTTACTTGAAGATTAATAAACCAATAATTAGCTCAAGTTGTCATAACTTGAATAAATAATATATCTTTACAGATGTTAAATAATAATAAAAAGTTATCATCCGTAAGATAAATTATCAAAATATTATAATGGATACTAAAGAATATTTAAATTACAGATGATGAATACATAATAAAAACCAAACAATAATTAAATATCCAATTAACTTAAAAAGCCGAATGGATGTTTTGCTGTTTTAATGTATTTTGAGTATTTAAAAATTCAATATTTAGCCACATACTTATGCAATTATTTTCTGCATTACAGGTACAACACTGACCAAGGAGCGATGGACCAGCAATTCTGCTTGCGCTGGAACAATCATCCCACAAATCTGACCGGCGTGCTCACCTCACTGCTGCAGCGGGAGGCGCTATGCGATGTCACGCTCGCCTGCGAGGGCGAAACAGTCAAGGTGGGTCAATCGAATCCCAATTATTTATATTTGAAACCTAACTTATTTTCCAATCCCTTTGCAGGCTCACCAAACCATTTTGTCAGCCTGCAGCCCGTACTTCGAGACGATTTTCCTACAGAACCAGCATCCACATCCCATCATCTACTTGAAAGATGTCAGATACTCAGAGATGCGCTCTCTGCTCGACTTCATGTACAAGGGCGAAGTCAACGTGGGTCAGAGTTCGCTGCCCATGTTTCTCAAAACGGCCGAGAGCCTGCAGGTGTGTTTTCATCTCGAAATTTAAATATATTTTGTTAAATGGATACCCTTTTTTACTTAGAAAGAGTAAAGAAAGATTTATTTAAAATATGCTGCTTAGGTTAAATAAATTTGTTAAGCCTTTAATTTTGAAGACATTGTTTAAAATATTGTTTTATATTACATTTTTTATACAAGCGATCATTCATAAAACATAAAACAAACCTATTTTATATGTGCAATAGAGGCTCTTTTTCAAAATTGAGATAAAGAAATTCTTCCCGTTTATCGTAGTTTATCACATGTACATAAGGCATTCCAGAAAAAATTATTTGGAAAAATTGCGTTTTCACATTTCCAGCTAAATCACTCATACGTACAGTTGCCTTCAATCAAAAAAATTATTCTGACATTACGTGTTGTGTTAGTAATTTTAACGGAAACTTTGAGATCATTCCACAACGCCTAGACCTTAAAAAAATGTTGTAGGTTTTGAACAAATTTTTTGCACACCAAAATCGACACAATTAAGCTTTGAAAGTTCGTTTTTTTTTAAACCCCTATGTTCGTTCTATTTCAATATATTTAACAAATTTAATGATGTACGGGTCTTCAATATGGACTTTGAATTGCTCTGCTTACTTTCTTTGTTTAATTCAAAATAGAAACTTGGGAATACCCGAAGCTATAATACTTTGTTATGAAATTCTAATATAATATAATTTCGGTACTTTTGCAGGTGCGTGGTCTCACAGATAACAACAATCTGAATTACCGCTCCGACTGCGACAAGCTGCGCGATTCGGCGGCCAGTTCGCCGACCGGCCGTGGGCCGAGTAATTATGCAGGCGGCGCTGGAGGCGTGGCCGATGCGATGCGCGAATCCCGCGACTCCCTGCGCTCCCGCTGCGAACGGGATCTGCGCGACGAGCTGACGCAGCGCAGCAGCAGCAGCATGAGCGAGCGCAGCTCGGCGGCAGCAGCGGCGGCGGCGGCAGCAGCGGCGGTAGCGGCCGCCGGCGGTAATGTCAATGCGGCCGCCGTCGCCCTCGGGCTGACCACGCCCAGCGGCGGCGAACGATCTCCGAGCGTCGGCAGTGCCAGTGCAGCGGCAGCGGCGGCGGCGGTGGCTGCGGCGGTTGCAGCGGCCGCCAATCGAAGTGCCAGCGCCGACGGATGCAGCGATCGCGGCAGCGAACGGGGCACGCTTGAGCGGACCGATAGTCGCGATGATTTGTTGCAATTGGATTATAGCAACAAGGATAATAACAATAGCAACAGCAGCAGTACCGGCAACAACAATAATAATAATAACAACAACAACAACAATAATAGCAGCAGCAACAACAACAATAGGGAGCGCAACAACAGCAGAGAGCGTGAGCGAGAGAGGGAGCGGGAAAGAGAGCGTGAGCGGGACAGGGACAGGGAGCTGTCCACCACGCCGGTGGAGCAGCTGAGTAGTAGTAAGCGCAGACGTAAGAACTCATCATCCAACTGTGATAACTCGCTGTCCTCGAGCCACCAGGACAGGCACTACCCGCAGGACTCTCAGGTGAGCGATCAATGCATATTTTTAATATTCAACGTATGATCGAAAACCTCTAATGAAATTATTTGAATACGTATACTTAATGTTCAAATACTTGTCATTACGTATACGCAATGGTGTGCAGTATATATATAATAAAATTATTTATAAATTATTGTATAACGTAAATAATTATAAAATACATAAGTATTATATTTATATCAAATATTTTAAAAATAAATAGTTAAAAAATAGAAAGGAGTCCAAAATAACTCTTTTATTCATTTAGTTGTCTTCTCTTCCTAACTCTACATGCACTGAAAATACTCAATTACTACTAATTTTGATATATCCAGGTTTTTAACTTTTTATTTATTATTTTTAATTTTCTAATTTGTATTTTGAAGGTGTGTGTGGTTTTCAATTGATGTGGTAAATTGTTCCAAGAACGAAACGTACATACAATAAAGTGCTTCTCTGAATACGAATGTCTAATTTTTTGCCAGATTAAAGTATGTGTTCTGTATAACGCACTGAAAATCAACAATAACAAAAATTAGCTTTCTATAATTTTGTGCAACAATAAAAGTTTTTGACCTTTTTAATTAAAATACAAATATATTCCCTTTTAAACAATCTCTCCAACTATACGAATTTAAACCAATATTTGGTATATGTATAATTTTGAAACGTTTTAAAAAGGAACATTTATTTATTTTTTTGTTTATTAAAGCATTGTTATAAAATAATTTGAAAAATAAACATGCGCAGGGTTCTGCATAAAATATAAGCTTAGGCCTTCCGTGTATATTTAATTGTTTAATTGGACAGCTCATTGCCCTCGTAATTAAATTACCTCTGTTTCTGGTTTTTCTTATTTGCCACAAACATACCTAAACAATTGCCAGCTCAGTCAGTCAGTCAGCTATTCCGCATTTGATATTTAAAACATTGTTTTTTTGCGGCTTGTGCTTTAATTGCCTGACAATTAAAATTAATTAGAAATTATCTCACATCCAAACATTCAGCAAATGTATATTAGTTACAACATAATTATGTTATTAAATTAAATGGTAAATTTGTCGTAGAGTTTTAATAGTCTTGCAACTTTTTTGTAATTTAATTAACACATATCCTATTTAAAATGAATTGTATTCACATAAACCCCTTGAATTTTTTTGGCTTACCATTTCAGCTTTAAACTATGTATAGATTTTAGTTTTATTAATATACATAGTGCCCACGAAAATCGTTTTTAGAACTGAAATAATAACAAGATATAATTTATGCTCGGTTTAATGGCTTGATTACATTTTGGTTTTTACATACCCTTTTCCAGTCCTGTGTACATGGTATATAATTTATTGCTCCGAAATTGAGTTATCTTTTACAAAGTGTAGAAAACCAAACAATAATTTAAACATTTCCATTGCAATAAATAAAAATGTCTTTTTAGGGGGTAATTATTTCTGGTTTTGTAAGTAAATGTTTAATGGCTTTATTATAATAATAACTCCCTATTTTTAACTACAAAATGTTCATATTTACTAAATATTTAAATTAATATTGCTCACCAGTCGTAGGTAACTAAAATCGGGAAAAACCCATTCACGTTGAAAAGTGTAGTACATATCTTTTAGATAAACCTATCTTTATTATGCATTCCACCATCCCCGCGCTTGGCCTTCGTGGCGTATTGCCAAAAGCTTGGCAAACTTTTGGCTTATCGGTCGGCGGGTGGTGGCAGTAAAAAGCGAACAAACAAACAATTTATGTTTGGCATTTGCGATACGATGATGGGCACACGCTCCACTCGCTCACATGACTGCGGTATCAGCTGTGGGCCACTGATCTGCGATCAAATAGTGCTGTGCTGGTGTTTTTGGCAGCTATTTCTGCTATTTTTGGCCCTTATCAGGAAGTGTTAAGTTTTTTTGGGTAAGGCACGTGCCGCTCTCCCTGTCTTTTGGACTCTCTATTTCTCTTTAATTTTCACACGTGCTGTAAAGGTGGTGTTTTGTTTACGCTTTTAGAGTTTAGTTTTATAAATCTTAGTGTTATATTTTAAATATTAAAGGCTTTCGTAAATATTTGTGACATAAATTGATTCTTTAACAAAATCAAATTATTAAACCAAATTCTAATTTGTATAAGGAATATTAATTCTTAATAAAAGACGGATGACTAAACATTTTTATAAATTAATGCTACTAGTTTATGTAAAATAAAGTTTTATAGCTGTCTAATATCTTTTAAGCATTCCATTGGCTAGGTATAAAGTCCGCAAAATTCTTCGGTTATACATTCTAGTAATTAATTTAAAGTTTTTGGAACAATGAAAGTTTATTTATAAGGTTAAAATGTAAGATTTAAATATTTTGTAGATACATTTTTGAAAATATTTCTTTCATTTAGAGTTATTACAGCTAAGAGTATTTAAGTGTTTGCTAACGAATTTTTAATTAATTTTTCAGGCCAACTTCAAGTCGAGTCCCGTGCCCAAGACGGGCGGCAGCACATCGGAGTCGGAGGACGCCGGCGGCCGCCACGACTCGCCGCTCTCGATGACCACCAGCGTCCACCTGGGCGGCGGTGGGGGCAATGTGGGCGCGGCCAGTGCCCTGAGCGGTCTGAGCCAGTCCTTGAGCATCAAGCAGGAGCTGATGGAAGCCCAACAGCAGCAGCAGCATCGCGAACACCACGTGGGCCTGCCGCCCGATTACTTGCCGGTAAGTCCAGTCAGTCAGTCGGTCAGTCAGATCAATTCAGATCAGAGCAGTCGATTGCATAGAGTACTTATCAATTTTGATTGAATTTCGATTATGATTTTGTTGCTGCATCGTTTAGTTTGTTAAGGTTTTTTCTTTTTTTGAACCGGTACGATGGTTCCAGCTACTAAACAAAACCTTTTTTAAAGCCTTTTTGTTGAATCATCTTTATACCTCTAAGCTAGCCAATTGCAAAATGCTTCCCAAAAATAGGACACAGCCAAGCTGCCCTTAAATTGTATTCTGTTAAAATATAAGTAAAATCTAAAGAAAATCTAGCAAAATGGGAGCAGAACGAAGGATTGGTGAATTGCGTTTAAATTGAATTTTCCAAATTCGAAGCGGAATATCGGCCAAAGAAAAAGAAAAAATCTCAACAATGCTGCGCCTCAAGCAAATGTAAAAGTAAAAAGTAAAGTAAAGTAAAGACCAGAAAATCCTTCCTTCTATCAGATCCATATTTTGCCAACACAAAATTTTCTCAATCCTGTGTGTAGATGAAAAAGTCAGAGGCGTTTTTAGGTAGCACTGGCAACAAGTCCATGCACCAAATGCTCCTGCATCAGGCGGTGGAGGCTCAGCTGAAGAGCTTGCAGCTCCATTACCAGAACGAGGGCTTGGACTCGGCCATGCAGAGATTGCTGGCCCAGCAGCAACATCAGGAGCAACAGCAGCATCAGCACAACCAGCCAGTGGGAAAATCCCTGAGCCCGGCAGCAACATCGGGATCTGGCGGCGGAAGTTCCCGGAAAAGTGGTCGCTTTCGGGCCAACTGGCTTTACCAATTCGAGTGGCTGCAATACGATGAGCGGGCCAATACCATGTTCTGCAGACACTGCCGCAAATGGAGTGGCGAGCTGGCCGATATACGCACCTCTTTTGTGGAGGGCAACTCAAATTTTCGCCTGGAGATCGTCAACCATCATAACAAATGCAAGTCGCATCGCTTGTGCTACGAACGTGAGCTGCAGGAGCAGCAGCAACATCCGACGCCCAGTGGAAGTGCCGGTGGCACCGTCAAGAGACCCTCCCCCGACATCATCACCATAAATGTGGGAAAGGACAGCACATAGAGATACAGGTCCTCAAAAAGGACCCCACACACCGCTCAGGATTAGCCTTAGGCCTTAGCATTAAGCTCTGTTAATCAAATAAATATACGAAAAATAAAATATTTTTAGAAACGTAAGAATTAATTAGCAGCTTGGAGTATAAAGCAATCTTCGGCAGAATTTTGCAATGGCAAAAATTGAACAATAAAATGAGCATCATCAATAAAGAAATTATTTCATTTAAAAAGCTTGGCAGCATTTTGCAATTGGTAAAAGATAACAAAAAGGCTAAAGAGTTTCATACAAATTTATATATTACAGAAAAATTATATTTTTGAGAACCCGAACCCGTAAAACCTCCTGAGAGTTTTTGTTAAACAATTATTACATTTTACTTATGATAGAAAAAAATGCATTTCAGAGTATTAGATAACTGACCAAATATAAATTGTGTTTCGCCCAATTAAGGTATTTAAGGTATATCTAGCCCTTACTTTTTTTTTTAAATTGTATTTGGTTTGTTAACCTAATTTTTAGAAACTGCAATAAGTTTTTAAATCGAAAATATTTACTTAAAACCAAAATTATTAATTCTAATTAATTAATTTACAAAAAAAGTTCCGAGAATTGAATAAATTGAGAAGAGAAATAAGAAGCGAACGTAGATTAGGATTGCATTTAGCTTCTTCGAAATTGTAGGCGACCCACTAGTACACTGAGATTTGTAGTACAGCATCTTGTTGGATTTACTATATCCCCTTTATCCTCTCTCCCAATTTCTTGCTGCAACCCAAGAGCGCTGCTCTGAAGCTGCACGCGGAGGATATGTCGACCCTGCTGACACAGCATGCTTTGCAAGCAGCAGATGCGCGGGACGAGCACAATGATGCCAAACAGCTGCAGCTGGACCAAACGGACAATATCGACGGTGAGTAGTTGACCGCTGAGCATTGCCATTTAGCCATTTAGCCTTAGCCAGAACCGAGCTAGCACCACTAAAACTACAACTACTACAAGTAAACCACACACAAAAGAATCTTCTTCTCTCTGAGCTTTTGAATACCTAACGCACTCGAAAACCGAAAGTATATCTTTCCCTATGTATCTATATATTGCGTATGTAATTTGTTATTAGCTTTTGGTTGATATACATTTTTTTTTCATTAAACCAACTTTGTTTCCACCATGCGCTCGAGAAACGTGAGAAAAGCCTACAAAAAAATATATATTTAGAAACTGTAAAGAAAATGTTTAGTAAATTTTTAGTCTAACTTCTGTTTCTTTCGTGACCCCTGACCCGTAATTAAAATCTAACCCAAATGAGCAAACTATTCTAATCTATAGCTAAGTAGAGTAAGCCCCTGGAGATTCCCTTATATCCTTAGAAAATATGTGTATAAATTGGAGAAGGGTATATATTTTTTAAACTTATCTAAAACTAATAATTCCTCCAAGCTCCAGTTTATATACCTATTTTCTAAATGTTCCTGCATGCATTTAAATATACTTCCTTCCTCATTTTTCCCACCCACTGAGACAATTATACCCCTTTGTATGCTTTTGTAAGTACAGTACCTTAATTTGTCCTATGTATTTATCGAAATATTCCGAATGATAAATCCTAAGAGAAGTAAGACCCAAAGTGCTAGCTAGAGCAACAGATCAACACCTCTCCTACCAGAATATCTCTATACATGCATATCTTTATTATTTCGTTGTTTGTCGTATCTTATGGTATTCTATATTGATATATATACTTAAATCTAGCTTTTAGGAAGAGTTTCCCATTTAAGCTGGGACTGGATCGTGATTTCGATTGCGGTTCAGTTTTTTTGCCGTATGTTTGCCGCATGTTGCATGTTTTATGACGCCTATACATAGACATAGACACACACACATAAACACCCTGATACACTCACACACCATCACATACACACATACGATTATCATTTAAGTATCGATTTATTTTAATTTTATATGTATAATTTAAAACCTATATATTGATTTCACCTTCATGATACCACAACTAGTCCTAAGACAGTTCGAAAATTCCCAAAATAAATTCAATTAGTATTTAGAACAAAATGCCTCCGTTGTCATCCAAAAACCAGAACAAAATTAGCACAATTGGCGTACACAACAACAAAAATTACACACTTATAAATAATAAAAATAAGTAATCATACAATATAAACATGTAAAAAATTTCAAATTCAATATAATTTCGCTTAGATTCACGCGTAGTTATTTTCAAAGCGCTTTCTGTTTGAGTTTTTTTCCCAAATTACTTTAAATTTGCTACTTTTTTATTTTTATTTTTTTCCATGCTTCATTTTAAAAACTCTGCTGAAAACAATGAATTTCAAGAAAAAATAAACATGAAAACCCTCTAAAATTTTTCCAAATCTCTTTTCGTCTTTAATGTTGCAACTTATTGTCTAAGAAATGGAAACAAACCCCAAAAAGCAAGCAAACAAAAAAATATAAAAACTTTTCAGTGTGAATACGAAAAAAACAGCTTACAAAATCGATGTGTTCTTATTTCCGTTATTTCCACAAACACTTAAATACAAGCCCGCCCACATACACACACACATACACATACACACTCGCCCACACACAGATACAGACTGTACTTTTCCCTCTTTTGGATATTTCTACTAACATTGCTGCATTTATGATTTGATGTGAAGAATATCCGTTGAACCATATTTTGTCACACTGTTTTTTAACGAGATAAATGTAACTGACTGTCTGTGTTTTTTCAATTGGTTTTTCTGCCAAGCTAACTAAATGTATTCCAACTATCTTTCTTTTGCCTACTCTCTTTCTATCTCTATCTCTCTCTGTCGCTCTCTCTCTGTACTTAACTGTCTGTGTGTGTGTATGCTTGTGTCTGTGTGTGTTGCACATATCCTTTAAAGTTTAAAAGAGAGCAGCCGCCAAAATAACGGTAAAGTGTAAAGGGAAGCGACAAAACTCGCACATTGGCTCCAGATTGCGCACCAAAAAAAAATATTTGAAATTCTGATCACAGAAATTTTGAATGAAATTAAATCGAAATTGAAATTACCTTACAGCTAAAAGAAAAATACCCGCACCCAGCGCCCAAAAACCCCTCACCACCTTTAAAACCAACAAAAATAAAAAAAAGAAAAAGAACTGGAATTTGCTAATATAACAAAAATAGTGTAACATTATAAAATACAACAATAAAAATATATATATATAAATATATAAATATATAAACACAAAGCAAAACTATAGCTTAAAATCTGTTGCAACATTGAAGTACTAAAACGAAAGTTATCCCAGAAAACAAAACAAACAAAAAAAACGAAAAATTGTGTATGAGAACTGTATTATAAAGAATCAAAAATACCAGACTATAAGATATAAGCCCAACCGAAAGATTGTCGATGCCACAAAATGACACGAACCAAAGTTGTTTACATTTAATTTTGTTTAACTTATTATTTTTCCCAATCCGTTTCACACTGTTCACACTGTTGATTGATTGATTTGCTTTCATGCAAAGTATACTTAATTTAGCTGAATTGTTTTATTAGAGCTATAAAGTCCTGCCGATCCGAAACGATGCCGCCTTAGCTTTAAGTCCAGCCTTGATTTGATTTGTGTTGTTTTTCCACAGACTCCGCCAACCGTATGATTAAGACTCTTGATTTGACTTGTTTCCACCCTCCTTACACCTTCGATCGATATGTATATTATGATTTTCAGGCTGTGCCATTGCCTTAGCCTCGATTCCCAGCCCCAAAATCCTTGCCGATCACTTGACTTGTGTTTTTAGCCTTACGTTTATTATCTTTTGTCCACCACACTCATTCAAACACAAAGTTTATTCCGAAATCGAAACGAAATGGAAATGTACCAAAACCAAACCAATTAAACCCAGTCTCGTAGCTGTCTTTTGCTCCATTCTTCTTGCATTTCTCCCAACAACACCGCCATACAAAATGTCCTATCAATAATACCAGTTATATGGTGAGCCGATTTCCATAAAGTATGTTGCAAATCTTAGATCTTAGATAATGTTCAATAAAAAAATTTTGAAACGATAAACTGTTAAGTTAGGACTACGTTAGCCGGAACAATATAAAAACATAAATGAAAAGTACAAGTTCATAACGTTCATAAAGTAAGCTTTAACATGTTGTTTATTTTGGATATTATAACATATAATTTTCAAACTTTTTTATTCTGATAAAAATTTTAGTAAAAACTAATATTTTTTTGAAGATAAGCTAAATTGGATTATCTTAGTGTTGTTAAACTTGCTGATTAATCTTTCGGAAGCGATTTTGGCTCACCCTAAACGGTATTTACTCACACTACTTTATATACACCCGAGTTTTCTTGACTTCTTCCTTCTGTGGCTACTTAGTTAAAAATTAGACACTATCCACACCCGTAAACCATTGGCATTTAGCCCACTGTGCGCATGTAATGCAAGAGAGGCGCGATCGAATCCGACTCCCCCGCCTCCTCATCTCTATATCCACCCCTTCAGTTCCCACCCCCACAGTGATGACGCCTAATATGAACCAAGCAAATGTTTGCAGGTCGCGTCAAGTGTTTTAACAGTAAGCACGAACGTCATCCGGATCGGGAACAGGATCGAAATCGGGAGCACGATCAGGGCGTTAACGATGAGGTCGTTGTGGATCGCGATCGTGACATGGTTGTGGATGAGGATCATGAGACGGAGGACATTGAGGAGTCAGCCTACCATGCCACGCCCCCCAAATACAGAAGGGCGTTGGTGTATGCACCACCGCATCCCGATGAAGAGGCAGCCTCCGGCTCCGGATCGGATATCTATGTGGATGGTGGCTACAACTGCGAGTATAAGTGCAAGGAGCTCAACATGCGCGCCATTCGCTGCAGTCGTCAGCAGCATCTGATGTCCCATTATCCGCCGCACCACCCGCACCACCGTTCCCTGATGGATTGCCCCGCCGAGGCGGCCTACTCACCACCGGTGGCCACTGGCCAGGCCTACCTGACCAGCAATGGAGCGGGGCAGCAGCTGGATTTGGCCGGTTATCATGGTCACGTAACGCACCACCACCATCATCCACAACCTTTACCCCCGGCACCACCGGCACCACCCAGTCACTCGCAAAGTTCGCCGCACTATCCCATTGCCACGGGATCGGCATCTGGATCGATTTCAATATCCGCATCGGGATCGGCCATATCCGCATCCGCTTCGGTGGCCAACTCGGCGATCTCCCCGCAACCCAGCTCCAGTTCCAATGGATCCACTTCGTCGGCTGCGGCGGTGGCTGCGGCCGCAGCGGCGGCGGCCAATCGGCGGGATCACAACATCGACTACTCCACCCTGTTCGTCCAGTTATCGGGCACCCTGCCCACCCTATACAGATGTGTGAGCTGCAACAAGATCGTGTCCAATCGGTGGCACCATGCCAACATCCATCGACCCCAGAGTCATGAGTGTCCTGTCTGCGGGCAGAAGTTCACGCGCAGGGATAATATGAAGGCCCATTGTAAGATCAAGCATGCGGACATCAAGGATCGATTCTTTAGTCACTATGTACATATGTGATCACTTCTCTAGGCAGGCGAAACAAATCAAATCAAATATAATCAGTAACAGAATGAAAGGTTTTCACAACTACAGTGTTTTAAGTAACCAAGAATCAAAGCAACGTATACGTAATCTAGAGTGAGGAGCCAACAGCCATCAGTTGGGTGTACATCTATATCTATTTATAAACCTTATTAAACCTATGCTACACGTAGTTGATTTCAAGACTTTAAACTATTTATTGTTAAATCTTCTGAACCTCTAGATGCTTTTTTGTAGGTCATTAGCAAACCAAATGGATTATTATATTGATATAGAAATACCGCGACCAGTACTCAGTGGAGGGAAACTTTGACAAGTATTATATGTAGAATTCCAATCGATTTCCGCGTCAGTTATTATTATTTTTTTAACTTACTTAACATGTGCTGTAGTGAATGTTGACTAATTTTTGTTCGTGTCATTTTGTGCCATATTAGCTAATCTCTCTTCTAGTCCATAGGCCTTAAGGTCGAAAAAGATAATTAAATAAACGCATAAAGATAATTAAATAAATGCATAAAAATAATTAAAGAAATGCATAAAGATAATAGAAAGTGCGAAAAGCAACCTGCAAGCAATATCGAGACTTAAACCAGAGACAAAAATATTTGTCGTACTGAAATATTTTTGAGAATTTCTCTCTATTAAGCTCTGTAGTACCACACAATTTTGTCTTACTTCTAATCAAATTCGTTTGGAAAAAATTCAGATAGCGTCCAATTTCTAACCGTTTGGCCAGAGCCCCCAGAGAAAAACGTCGGGTAACTGAAGTTGGGCGCTCTCTTGATTTATATCTTTGGCAAAACACCCACCGAAGTTGATTGGAGTTGCTTGCAAAACGAATAATTAATAATTATTAATTAACCATTGACGATTCAGTGCTTTGCTAAAGGACAAATTCAAATCAGATTTTATCGAAAAATGTACTTAAACACTAGCTATAGACACCAATCAAACAATGAATCATTAATTAACACTGAATTACAGATAAATACAAGTACATATATGTGAAACGGATAAATCAATATTTAACATCTTTAACTTTACTTAATAAATCTCTTTCAAATCAAATTCCAGTTCTTTTCATTCAATAAAAACCAAGCAAACGTCCCCTAGGTACTAAAAACAACTTAACACAATTAAAAAAATAAAAGAATACATTAATTTATTTTTAAATTGAAAAACAAATCCAAATTTAAATAAAAAGTTAAACATCAAGCGCACTCTCTTAACGGTAAGTTGAAATTTCTAAGATCTAGTTAAGCACAAATTACCTCTCCTCTATAATTTAGAATTATGTTAAATAAGTTATATTTATATATTTGATTTATGTATTATGATTTTAATTTAAAAAGAAAAGCTACAAATTCGAACAAAACTAAAGAAAACAAAAAAAAACAGGAATTGGCCAAACGATTGAAAAATTTATTAGTTATTTAAACTTTTTTAAACGAAACACTACTCACTCACTCACTCGATCTATCTATCCTACTCTATAGCTCTACTTCTCTCTCCCTCTTAAGCTCGGTCTGTCTCACTCTTTCTTGTTCTCGCTCTATTTATATTGTATGCAGTCTTTCCCGTCCTGTTTTGGGCGAGGATCTAAATTTGTTTTTGTTCTGCCAGGCAGGAGGGGTGTTGAATGAAATGTGTTCGATAAACGATAAACGACATTCGATGTTCGATATACAATATACGATATGCCTTTTCTTATCGACGTTGCTGCGCTACTGTTATTTCGTTTAGTCCTCACGCCAAATCAATCATTTTATTTACATGTTTTGTCTCATTTTTTTAACCTCATCTGCGTTTTTTTGGCCCCCAACTGACCCCGTCCCTCTCGCTCACTCTCTGCCTCTCTCCAACTTATGTACATTTACCAAACAATAAACACCACCCGTTCCGCAAAACCCCCCTCGAAAACAGTGACAAAAATTAGACACTAATACGGTTCTTGGGCTCTCTTGACAAATAATTTAACAAAGAAGCTGAAAAGAAAACGAATTTGAATCGGAACCAACAATCATCTATTAAAAAATAAATAGAACATTACTATTAGATCTTAATTAAACGTCCAAACACGAATCATTTGCACATACATACATATAATTTGGTTTGGGTTCCTCAATATCCAATTCAGTCGCCCCACAATTATTGTAAATAATTCGAATATTTTAAGTGAACCCATTGCCACAGACGAAGAATCATTTGATTTGAATCATCATTTTTGACATAGCAATAATGTTCCCCCCTCCCCAATTCAAGTGCTGTTCTACATTTCCCTATTTCTCGAAAATCCATGGAAAAAAGTAAAAGAAAAACAAATTCTTAACTGTATTTATTTGTCGATTTTTTGGGTGTAACAAAATTTGATTGCGAAAAATTAAATATATATATATAATCCAAACCCTCCACGAGAAGAGTGTCTCTGCCCACATAACACCATGCCTCAGGGATATGAACAAAATTGATTTAACAATCATTCGTTTCAGTTTTAATCATTCTTTCCATGGCAAAAAAAAAAAAAAAAAAAAAAGAAAACCGAAATTACGATTCTACTACCATAAACACACACCAAACACACAAACACACACACATGCAGACTCTGAAAACCATCTAATTATACAGTTTAAGAATTATTATAAAAATGATTTTTCTGTTTCTGTGAATCACCAACAACAACATTGTTTTTCTCTTCTTTTTTTCTTTGCGCGTTTGAACGAACAAATTAATAAAAACCGAAATCGAAATACCCATGCTAAAAAACCAAAAAAAAAACCAATGAAAATGCAATCAATCGAATAAATAAAATACAATTAACTGCGCAGGCTCCAAGGCCTGGCACATGCGGCTAACTTTCGAGCGCCTCTCGGGCGGCTGCAACCTGCACCGTTGCAAGCTGTGCGGCAAGGTCGTCACCCACATCCGCAACCACTACCACGTCCACTTCCCGGGCCGCTTTGAGTGTCCGCTGTGCCGGGCCACCTACACGCGCAGCGACAATCTGCGCACCCACTGCAAGTTCAAGCATCCCATGTACAATCCGGATACGCGCAAGTTTGACAACCTAATGTCCTCATCGGCGGTGGGGGCGGCAGCCACGCCCACGGCCAGCCAGCTGGCGGTCGCCTCCCAAGCGGCAATGGCAGCGGCAGCCGCGGCGGCCTTTAATGCAGCGCAACAGCAACAACAGCAGCAGCATCAACACCAGCAACAGCAGCAGCAACACCAGCAATCGCAGCAACAATCCCAGCAGCAACAGCAACAGCAGCAGCAATCCCAACAGCAACTCCATGCCCTTGCCCAGCAGCACATGTTGCAGCACCATCAGCAGCAGCAGCACAATGCCACAAGTGAATGATACAGTCAGTATCTGGGCTGGAACTATAATGCCTGGCGCCCCGATGAGCACAACCACAAGCAGCAACAGCAACATCGCAAGGCTCAGCCCTTTAACTTTTATGCCCGCGACTACTACTACCAGCAGCAACAGCAGCAGCAGCAGCAACCGTCGCTCTCCACCAACCTAAGCAATGGCAGTATGCGACAACAGCAGCAACGGCGACAGCAGGAGCAACATCCACCTGCCCAGACGATCATCATCGATGAGAGCGACAATGAGCTGGAGGAGGAGCAGCAGATGAGGCTGAATTTCGAGCGATATATGGATCAGCTGAAGCAGCTGGCGCCCTACGATCCCCAAGAAACTTTGTGCAATAGCAACACCAATAACATTAACAGCAGCAACAGCAGCGGCGAGCCCACGAATGCCAATCAAATGGAAGCTACTACAACTACTACTAATAGTAATATTAATAATAACAATAGTTATGCTAACAACAGCACTAGGAACCACAACAAAAGGCCGCAGCAGCAGCAGCAGCAACTGGAGTAACAGCAGCAGCAACATTCGTAAACACATCTGCAACAGCAACCAATTGATACTCAAAGCAAAGTTAATTTAGATGAAAAACGCGTATAAGATCTTAAATGTTGAAACAATTTAAGGGTAAGCCAAATTTATTTGTCAATTATGTAGGCGAATTATGGAGAGGAGAGGATAAATCGCCGGCTGCGAGAAGGAATCTATTGCTGATATGTGCAGAAAGCGACACATTGTCATGGTTTCAACTAGATACGGATGTTGCAGTCACACACACGCACTTATATTCAGTATAGTAAGATTTATTCGTAATGAAATTTTAATTGTAATAGTCTTGTTCGTGGGGCAAGCAAAAGGGTTTCTAATGCAGCTAAGAAAAGAGGGTGGAAAATAGGGCAAAGTGGAAAAAAAAAGTTTTAATTAGCAGCACTCAAATATTTACAAGAAGAAAAAAAACGAATACAAAAACAAATAGCTTGAACTAAACGCAAACTAATTGTATTTCAAGAACTACTCATATATGGAATTACAAATTTTACAAATTAAAATCGTTGGACCTGTCAGACATTTGTGCCAAAATCTCTTGGTGGTAGTGCCAACTTCCTTGGCTGCACTTTCTCTCTTTGCACCTGTTTGTTGTTGCATTTAACACTAATATGTGCACACCCACAACCACACACCCCCACACAAAACCACACTAACCCACCCACCCGGAAACCACACTGATACTCTATAAAGAAAAGAAAGTTAGGAGCAAAAACCGAACATTGAAGACATTTTAAACGAGAGATTTCTATGCTGCTAACCATTTTACTGTTTTATATAAATGTATATTTAATTACGATCTAATGGATGTCATGTTGTATGCATAAAAAACGACAATTGTAAAATAGAATGATCGCGTTACTGAACTTAATCGATATTTATACAATAATATTCAATGGGATTTTCTCTGCATATAGATGTATCTATGATGTACAAATCGGTGCGTTTGATCGATGTTAGTTGACCTTGAAGACATGCATTATGGCAGCCCTAATCTTAGCAAAGCAGTTTTAAACAAATCTAATATAAACTAAACTAATTCACTGATTACGGATACTAAACTAATGTTAATTTATTTATAACCATTCTGAGAGTGTGTGCGAATGAGTCTCGAACTGAGCAATTGCCAATGGATCAAATCCGATCTGCTATGATCTGATGTATTATAGTTAGCGAAAACATCGCCAGATCCAATTGTCAATGCATGTGGCCGAATTTGTTATCCAGTCTATATAAAATACCTACTTATATACACATGCGTGAGCTAATATTAATTTTTGCAGACTCTTATTACGGTGTAAATATGATTGATGATTCTCCAACGATTTCTGCTAGTTAATGTATATTTAAAATCAGTTTTTTTGTAATTTGTTGTTGTACATTGATTGCCAAATCCCCGATATTGGTGCGCACACACACACAAACACGAGCATATGCCAACAAGCAAATCAAACACACACATACACACACACGTCTAATTGCCTAAAGAATTAATGCATAATTCGATTAAATATATAGTTATATATTATATACACACATAATCATATTTATTTGTTCTACTTCTTAACATTTAATGTTTAGTAATTAAATTTACATTATTAATAATGCTACATCAAATACTGCCCCCGACTTAATGTTTGTTTAATGTTTATTTTTAACGCTGTTTTGTTAAACAAAAATTTAGAAATTTATCTATATATGATGTGATAACTATAGTAAAACTAAACACACACACACACGCCCACAAAACACAACAAAAAAAACACCCACACATTACAAATTGAAATTATGTTAATTAAGCAGGAGTGTAGAGAGTTGAAGTTTTTTTAAAAAACGTTCGAAAGTAATCTAAAAATTGTGTGGTATGCAAAATGGTGCTAAATCCAAATATACTTTAAAGTATAAAGAGTAGGACAGGAGGGAATAAAAGGAGGAGGCCAGCTCTCCTTGAATAGTATCGTATGTGCAATATGACTAGTTTTCGTTTAAGGTGCAGGATGTTGACGAGACCACGCAAAAGCCAACCATTTGAATTATGCAAAGAAAAATACAAAAAAAAATATTCATGTAAATACAAAGCGGTGCTTACCCCCACATAAATTTTAAAAAAATGTTGTGCTGCATTTGAACTATTTCAAGTCCTTTTAAATGTCACAAAAATTGGGAGGAGAGACACCGCAAGAAATCTAAATAAATGTTAGCATATCACTATGAATATGATTATAAATATATATACATCTGATATAGCAGAAGAGCAGTTAGTTAATGAGAATTTTTCGCTACAATTTCTGTGTCTATTTACAATAAATGTCATAAAGCTTATCAAAAATACTGAAACACCACACCCACACAAAAACCACACTCAGCCCATAAACACTCTTATATTTATTTCGGTGCCTTCTTTTTGAACCATTTTGATTTCAGTCCTTGATTTCGATTTTGACTTTGACTTTGTTTAACCAATTTTAACAGCATTTTTGCAGTCGATCAGAAGTGGTTCGAACCTTTAATTTTAATGACGTGCTAGTTTCAATGTAAACTTAGTTTAATATAACTTTTGTATTAATAAATGCAATACAAACTATTTTTAGTTTTATTTATAAACAACAACAACAGCGGCAGCAACAGCAACAAAAGTTGAAAATGAAAAAAACGAAAAGAAAATAGAAAATGCAGAAAAAAAATGAAATCAGTTTAATTAACGTTAAGCAAATTGAAGCAAGCCCACAAAATGCTTGCAGCATTTGTTACAATTTATATATACACATATAAATATATATTACAATATTTTTTAAAACGATTTTTAATAAACATTCTATCTATTATGGCAGCCTTTCAATGAGACAAATTGAAGTACTAAACAAAATAAAACCTAAACCGTAATAAAATCATAAAACTATAACTGAAGAACAGGCAGATGAACCAATCTCACACAGAAACACATATACACACACCCTCACAGACAGACAGAAACACATACACAGAAACAAATGAAACAAAACAAAAAAAATTAAAACTAAATCAAATAAATTGAATTTTATGGAAACAAAACTAAATGGTGATCACTTTATTATTTTTGATCCTCTGACTCCGAAACCGAATCTCCGAATCCCGTTCTGCTGTGCGCTTTGAATTGTGCTTCCAATGATGTTAGGGGTGCCCATGAAAAGTCGAACTAATGTCTAAGAAACTATATACCTACTATATACCAACCAACACACTCACCTGCACATTTGTCTACACACATGCGCGCACAAACACACACACACACACATTCGCATAGAGAATTTTCAAACCTCGGCCCAATTTCCTGTTTTTTTTAATGATTTGAATTTGTTAACCTCTTTTCAACATTTACGACTACCCTAATTTTATCAACTTAATATATATAGATTTATTATGTATCAGTTTCAGCCCGAATTCGTTATGTGTAAGCCAAAATGATTCTTTGCACAAATGAGTTACACCCAAAAAAAAGGAAATTAGTATTTCAAAATACCAATATACAAGAAAAGTGTGCGAAGCAGCCAAACCCTTCATTTAATCATAAAAGAAATGTTGCCCACATTTGTGCTATAAAATATATTTTTATAAACATGAACATATCTATATGTATGCGTCGATTGTGACTAATTTCATTTGTATAAAATTAATAAAAAGTGAAATACCCAAAAGCCGAAAGAAAGGATATTTCAGGAAAAAACGGAGGCATTTTATAAGTTAATTTGTAACTGAATAGTGCATTGGAAAATATAAGCAACATTTCTTTAAAAGATAAATTGATAAACTTATATACAAAAATGTTGCCTACTTATCCGGCGCACTGTTCAAATATATATTTTATAAAAGCTTAGTTGTAAATGAAACTCGCATTTATATACACCTATATTTCTAAATTAAAAACTATGAATTATATTATTAAAGAAAGTAAAGAATATTTCATTTGCACGCTGAAATATGATAGGAGACGCAGAAACGATCCGAAATCCTTTTGTGTTAGCCACACATTTATGTATATTTTCCGTTGACCTAAGTTGCTTGAATGTAGTTAGTCACGTTTGTTTGTTTTTATAATTACTTATTTTTTTTTAGTATTTTTTCTTAGTTTCCTAGTTTAGTTTGAACTTTTTTCATTATGCCGCCTAAGTATATTTGATTTTAGCTCACAAAACGAAACTACCTATCTCTGTCTCAAGTCATATATCTTTCTCCCTCTTTCTCTGTCTGTCTCTCTCACACACTCACTTTTACACCACCCCCCCACCCACTATCTCTCTCTCTCTGTCTATTATACGAAAAAAACAAACAAAAAAACAAAAAAAAATTCAAAAAATAAAAGAAATCTATTTCTCTGGGCTGATTTTCGTCCCGCTCGACGGGCTGTTGTGTGTTCTGTTCTTCTCTTTCTCGTTCTCGAACCGCAGGCAGCAGCGCCCGCCACCACCTGTCGACCCCCTGTCGACCTCGTCGTCGGCCTCGCCCCCGCCGCCCCCTTTCGGGATGCACCTGTCGGCGGCTTTGAAACGCGAATACCATCCGCTGCACTATATCGCCGCCGGCAATGGCCACAACGGCCCATCCGCCCATGGCTACAATCAGGGATCGGGCAATACGCCAAATAGCACCGGACTAGCAGGATCGGGTGGAGCAGGAGCTGGAGCAGGATCTGCCGGCGGAGCAGCGGCAGCCGGCGGCCATAATTCACATCACACCATGTCGTACCACAACATGTTCACGCCGTCCCGCGATCCGGGCACCATGTGGCGGTGCCGCTCCTGCGGCAAGGAGGTGACCAACCGCTGGCACCACTTCCACTCCCACACTGCCCAGCGGTCCATGTGTCCCTATTGCCCGGCCACCTACAGCAGGATCGATACGCTGCGCTCCCATCTGCGGGTCAAGCATCCGGACCGCCTGCTCAAGCTGAACTCGTCCATTTAAGGGCGTGGCCGGGGCCCGAATACAGCCCAACATCGCCAGCTTTATCAGCAGCAGCAACAGCAGCACCAGCAACATCAGCGGCAGCAACATCAACAGCAGCAACATCAACAGCAGCAACATCAACAGCAGCAGCTACAGCAGCAACATCAGCAACCAGCTTACTACATCAGCAACTATAGCAACTTTAGCAATAGATATAGCTACAGCGAGAGTTTATTGTAAATCGCTGCAGTCTAGATGGATTTTTTTTTTTTTTTTAGTCGTCGTCTGTACATTACCCACTAGCTATCCAAGCAATAACAATAACCCAAAACTAGTAGAACCGAAGATGCTATGGCAAAACGCGTAAAAAAGTATATTGATAATCTTAACTATAGCTATTGGTAAACTTTGACGCAATCGTCCCATCAATTTATAAATGTGTGTATAACTAAAGAAAAATTAGGAAAAGGTTTCAGCTGCTAACTAAGGAGGAGGATATAACCGATAAAACAGGGCAGCGAACACAAGAAGTTCGGTTAGAACCGTTTTCTAAAGCCACAACAAACCGTTTCGAAGGTTTCTAAATGTTGTTTCCTAAAAACTACAAAAGTAATAACTACCATAATGATAGAGAGAGAAGGTCGAAGGAAAACACTTTGGGCTGATTCGTTCAGCGGAATGGCGTCACCAGGAGGAGATGGAGCCGCAGCCACCACAGCAACAGTCACCCACAACTACTACTCATACGAAGGTCACATTAGGTTTTAGTTTATTTTACTGTTTACCGTTTAGATCGTAGTGTTAACCAATATGTTCTGCAGAGTAGGCAACGGATGAGGAGCTACTCAACCAACTACAAAGAAATTTTCATATACCTCAAATGCATTTCAGTTTTATTGTTGATTGCTTAATTTTAATCTACGTAGATCGTTAGCACTTATTCATTAACTACCAATTATATGTTATTTTAATCGGTTCCAATTCTATAGCCAATAGTTTACCAACGTTTTCCTCTGTTTTTTTTTGTGTTCTCTACCAATCTTCTGATTTTGCCCTATGCGTTAGGTTAAACTTTTTAGGATTAGCTCGAACCACTTGAACCACCTCACTTTTTTGTTAAGATTGTTTATATTTATGGCCAAATGTTTATTTAGTTAAAGGACACAAACACATATTAAAACACAACAAAAAAAAGTTAGCTGATATGAGGGCTATAAAAGAAAAAATCATATCACAAAAATCTAAAAAAAAAAAATATTGGAAAAATCTATAGAAATTATATTTTTAAATTGGTAAATTGTCTGCTCAATTGGCGAGAAATTTGACGAAATAATTATAATTTGTAACCGATTATCTCGCTTTTTGATTACCATAACCAAAACGTCCCCGCAGAGACGGCAAAAGTAATTAATTTTAAACATTTTGTGATAGACAAAATTATGTTTCGGCACAAAATATATAAAAATAAAAAAACTATAATAAAGCAAAATAAAATAAAAAATTAAATGTGATATTTTCGGCACAAAACTTTACATAAAAACAAAATACAAATTTAAAGTAAAAAATTAACAAAAAAAATGGTAAAATATCATGAAGGTTAAGCAACATTTGGCTAAGGTTGCTTGCCTTTTGCATATTTATTTAGATGATTTTTGTTATAGAATTATTCAAAATTGTTATATTTCGGTCCAAAGCACAAAATGTATAAAATTTATTTCTAGTTATCCCTTAAACATACTTTTACTTTAACTTTAAAATCTTGATTTCCTAATTTTAAGTTACGTGCATGTGCGTGTGTATATATCCATTCAAAAATATGTGCACACAGAGATCATAATTTTATTTAGTTTTACGTTGATTGAGTTGAAAACTTTAAGCCAATAAACTACCGCAAAATTAAAAACAACAAAACAAAAACAGCACAGATGTTAAGGCAAACCACTACTACACACAGATTTATGTACCAAAAATGTAATAAATATGAAATTATATAAAAAAAAACAAATGAAACAAAGCAGCGAGAAACCAAAAGAAACCCAAGTAGAGAAAGCTAAACGGAGACTAGCTGGATTTTTCTAACTTTTTTCCCATACATAAGCATAAATCGTAAACGAAATATTTTTATACATCCATCTTGTAATCGGCCGATTGAAACGATAGGTCCTAAAGATCTGGGCCTGGAGGGTTGCTCTGTGGAAAGAGTTCTCGGAGTAGAATCCCAGATCAAATATTGCTCCACATTCGTCATGCGCAAATAAAAATACACAACAACAGCGAGTTGTAACTTATTTTTTTGCTCTACACTTACAAACTCAATTAATCAATATGCAAATACAAATGTGGCAGTGCCTAAAACATGGCACTCAACACAGCAATGAAAAATATTATTAACAGTTTTTCGTCGTCTACCAGTTTAAATAAATCAATCCATAAAGATCTATATATATATCAAACAAAAAAAATATATATATTTCAAATTTATTCAAATTAAAATCAAAATATAATTCACTAGCAGCATTTAAATGTCAAGCGAAACAGCAAATAAAACCAAATAAAATTTATGATTATTATTATTACATATATCAACAACACTCGTTTCATGTTCTGCCCTTCATGACCACGTCCCTAGTTGGAAGCACAATTCAAATCGTTAGGTTCGGCATTGATTTTGGGTTCGGAGGCCTGGTTCGGGGTTTTGGGTTGAACTTGGGGGTGGGCTTTTTACTTTACCAGCACAACATTTGTTTCTCTGCGGATTGCCCCTCTGGCGATAGGGTAAGTAATGGGTTACTAACCCATGGTAAGTTAAATCAAAAAGCAATTTTTACAGATATAAAGCTGAAGCGTAGCTTGTGCTCATGTGCAAATAAGTCCTACTTTAGCACTTTTTTAATAAAAGCTTAAAAATTATAATTATAATGCATAAAAATCAAGATGTGATCGTTTTGACCATCTTGATTATAATAAAATCGAAAGATGTTACCTTTTAGTCTTCATAGAAAATTAGTTTCAATAATAACTGATAAATTTTAATAAGAAGAAAAAAGTACTTTTTGAAAGTTAAATGGTATTTCTTATATCAGTTTTCGGAATATTGTTTAATAATGTAACTCTTACAACTTACACTATATAATAATATTTACAAAACATTAACAAAACAATGGGAAATTAAAACTAAATTGAAATAAAATATTTTGAGACAAAACAATTTTATTTTTATCCAGCACAACTCAAAAATCTCTTTAGTTGTTGTCTATTAAATGAAAAGCTGATTTTTAGAGAATCAACCCACAGTTCTTAAGAGGTGGTTAACCTTTTTAAAAGTCATCGGAAACTTAAAAAAGTAACATGAAAACGGGTCAAAAAATGTATCAACGTTAATTTAACAAATTTGAATCCAGATTTTAAGAGAATCAGCCTACAAGTCTTAAGAGGTATGCCACTTTAAAATCCGCTTAAATTTGGATTATGGAAGTTCAATTGTGGGTGACCTTTTTACAAGTCATCGGAAACATAGAAAATAATAACATGAAAATGGGTCAAAAAATGTATCAACGTTAAAATGACAAATTTTAAGAGAATCAAACAACGAGGTATGTCACTTTGAATTCGGCTTAAATTTGGTAACTTATTTTGTTAGGGAACTTTTTGAAGAACTTTATGAACTATACGAGCTAGAGAGATGGGACCCAACATTCAGATTCTAGTTATGCCCAACCACTCGATTGTCCACAAATAGAAAAGTTCTGCGGAGACAAGTTAGGTAAATATTTTCGGGCTTAATATAATTTTGAATTCAACATTTAAAATTGGATAAACGTTCTGGTTATCATCAAAAATGTGCCCCAGATTTTTTCTCAGCAAAAGCTTTCAAAATTCTTTAAAAAAACTTGGGACATATTGGGCCTGTTGAAAGTGGTTAGCAAGATTCTATTCAAGGAAGCATTGGATATTTGGTAATCGCAAAGGCACCATTGAAAATTAAAACATGACATTTAGTAAAAATGTTAGAAAATACTAAATTGAGCTTGAGCAATGGGGGTTGAAAAATCAGATTGACCCGTCTTAAGATCAATCATGTATTTAATTATTTCAAAACGAGAAACATTTATATTTAGTTTCTATGGCACCTATTCAGAAAGTACTTTTGGTAAAGAAATATTTTTATTATCTGCCTGGTTATATAATATTTAGCAGTGCAATAATTTTTTTTTTAACTATTTGTATATTTAAGATAAGACCGCCACTTGCTTAGAGTTGCCACTGTATACATATTTTAAGTATTATATAAAATGCGAAATAAGGCTACACCAAACATCGATTTTTCATGGACTGTTCGATAGTCAGTGTGACCGCACGTTGAAATATGAACTTAAATATCGATAGATTTTACAAAACTCGTATATAAGGTAATATAATCGAATTAAAAGTTAAAATATTCACAATACATTTGACCTAGACACACGCAAGATGATTTAGGAAATAAAAATATAAATATTTATGCATTTCTCAAAAGCACTAAACTATCGAGACAGCCAAATGGCCGATAGTGCCATCGATAGTTCTTGCAGCTCTAGTCGCGAAAACACAGACGCAAGAAAAAAGAAAAACAGACGAAGAGGGAATACGGGAAATACGCGGGAAGTGCAGACAAATCGCCCAAATTTTCACGCGCAACGATTAACGAGAATAAACAGCGTAAGTAGCGGAAAAGTGCAGGCCTAATTGCGGTTGTAAATGCAAAGTGCAATGCGCCGGAAAATTTTGCATAAACTTTTGTGAAATTTCAAGTGCGTTTGTGTGAGTGTGCAGCAGCAGCGTGTCCATGTTTGTGTGCGCGAGTGCGCTGGTATTGAAAAAATCTATCTCTTCGCTACGCATTTTCACCCCCCGTTTTTGCGTATTTGACCTCTCTTCCTCTTCTTCTGTATCAGCATTGCCGCCTGCGTGTGTGCGTGTGTATGTGCGTTCTCTGCTTTCGTTTTTTAATTCTTTGTTTATATTTACGTATAGTTTGTTTGGGAGCCACCAGTTTTATTGTTGTTACCCGATGGCGGATGCTCTTCCGCGTTTTGATTTATAGCCTTGTAAAAATAGTGGCCGATTCTAAGATTCCCAAAAGCTTTTCGCCGTCTGCTCCACCGCACTCATCGTTTATCAAAGTGCCCGCCTGCGGTCTATTCCCTTTGGAAAGCCATGGAAATCGTGTATCTTTCAAAAGCATTGAATTAGTGCCAAAACGTGCAAAATTGTTTCGAAAACATAATGTTAAACATTTTCTAAATCCGCAACTTTAGCAAACTTGGCTTTTTTACAAATTAAGCGTAATGGCCTAAAAAAAAGTACATTTTCATTTATTTATAGTATAGTATAGTATTTTGTAAACTTGTAACTTAATCTTTTCTGACTCAAACAAATTCTTTATCAGGGGAGGTGCTGTAATCTTTTCTCAATTAATTTAAACTATTAATAATATGTATTTTTCCATTGTTGATGATATCATATTTCAGCACTTAGTTTAACGAGATACACTGTTTAGACTTGAAAAGATCTGTTGATAACTGGGTCGGTTTATTTAGTGCTATGTCCATATTATATCTATCTTGCACATAATATTATTGCACCTGTCCTAAGGTGATATCTTGATTGCTCTGTTCATAAATTTGACGTAAATTGCCTTATTTAGAACCGCGGGCACTTGCTCGCATAAATATCTGAGCCGCATTATTTGTTTTCCAAACATTTGGCTGCCCCCACTCGCTTTTCCTCTGGGTTTTCCGCTCATTCGCTCTCCACCTTTGGGAGATTTTTCCTCGGAATAGTTTTCCCCCAGTTGAATTTTGGCGCCCGCGTTGATCGGTTGAGCAGTCGGGAAAATCTTTCGTTTGGCTTTTGGAAAATGTACCGTGCAAAGTCGTGGGTTTATTTTTAGCCAACGTGCTGATTGCCCCACTCGCAGTGCTCCAAATCGGATTGAGAATCGACAACTGCCAAATTAATAGCAAATCCTCAGGCTTTAAGGTCTTCCGACAAGAAGGGAGAGTTCCAGCAGTCGTGGCATCGGTTATATAATCCATGAAAGATTAAAATGCCCAGCAAATTTCAGAGAAAAAGCTCTCCCGGAGGAGGACGAGGTGGCGGAGGGCTGGGCGGGGCGTCCAGCGTTTCCTCTACACCGAGCAATCAGCCCCGGAAACGAGTGAAACGATGCTGCCGGAACTTCTGCACCTTTATGTGCACCCAGGTAGGCGTGGGCGCCCTGATCGTGTTCTATGCCATCTGCGGAGCATTCGCCTTCATGCACATCGAGCGCCAGTTTGTGGACGAGACCGCTGGCCAGGTTAAAGACTTGCGAAACAAGTACTCCCAGCAGCTGTGGAACATCACAGAGAAGCACAATGTCCTCGATCGCTTTCAGTGGACGGAGGCCACGAATGCAATTCTGCGGGACTACCAGGGGCAAATAGCAGGGATCGTCAAGCACGGCTATGTGGGCCGGAGTCCCGAGCAGATATGGAGCTTTCCGGCGGCCCTTATGTTCTGCCTTTCGGTGATAACCATGATTGGCTATGGTAACATGGTGCCCAGAACTCCGTGGGGTAAAGGATTCACCGTGATTTATGCCACCTTCGGGATACCCTTGTACATCCTGTACTTCCTGAGCATGGGACGAGTGCTGGCCCGCTCGTTTAAGTTCCTCTACCGCTCCATGCACGACTGCACCCAGGAGCATCCACGACTAGATCGCCTAGACGCCCTCGAGGGAGGTGTCACCATGGCTCGCAAGAAGGTCATTGTACCGTCAACCGCTTGCCTGTGGGTGATATTTTTCTACGTCCTTACCGGCACAGTGATGTTTGCCAATTGGGAAAAGTGGAGCTTTCTGAACAGCTTCTACTTCTGCATGACGTCGCTGTGCAAGATTGGATTCGGTGACTTTGTGCCAGGCGCATCGCTGACCACCACCGCGGATGTGAATGCCGCGACGCAAAAGCTGCAGGAGGATATCGCCGCCGATCCGGCCGAGCTGGCCCAGCTGCAATCCGTGGCTGCCGATCAGCATTCAAAGCTGGCCATCAACTTCGTGTACATGCTGCTGGGAATGGGACTGGTGGCCATGTGTCGCAACTTGATGCGCGAGGAGGTGCGCCTAAAGGCGCGCGAGATGCGCGAGGACGCCAAGTTGTGCATGGAGGACACGCGGCTGCGTTTTGTCGGCTGCTGCGGAAATCCCCGGGATGCCTACGAGGATGATTACTATTAGGATAACCATTAGGCAGATGTGAGGGGCTTTGAAGAGAGCGGTATTATAAGCTTAGCTGCAGTTTCGATAAGGCTTGCCCTTTAAATTAGTTTACTTTTTTTAGCTTTCAGGATGATTCAGATATCCTATTTGAAAATTAATTTTTAAGCAAAGCAATAAGTTGTATTAGTTAGCTTTAGGCACTCTTAGAAGGTTTAAAAAGGGGAAGAAAAATTGTACTTAATGGAATCCGAATAAAATACAAATAAGAGGGTTAGTAATTTCAATTAGGTCAACCATTTATATGATTTGTGAATTCAAAAATTATTATTTCTATTAATAACGTTATACTCTTTAAAATCCCATACTCAACCCATTTAATCTATAATCAGTCAAGGCATTTGCAATCTTTCTTCAGAAACCATTGCAAAGAAGCAATCAGGAAAGGGATTTATACTTACAAATATTCTCTGACAATTCGAGGGAGATTTGAATACCAGGTTTTGCGTGTGTGCTGTGCAAATGATGCTCCGATAGGTGTTTCGATCATACATCGTGCCAAGCAAGTAATCTCCTCCGATCCGATCCTGCAGCTCACCATTGATCAATTCCTGCAACTTCAAGAGCGGATCCGTAACTTCGAGGGCATGCTTGGCGGCGGCAGCGGGGAGCGTCTGTGCACGCCAAGCACTTCGGCCGGCCCCTTCCGCATCTTCTCCGTGGCCGGATTCCAGAACCGGGCCAATGACATTGTCTACTGCCCGCCAATCGTGCGGCAGCATTCAGTGCACGTGCCGGAAGACTCAACGGCCATCATCTACTTTGGCGGCGATGTGCAGGACTTCCCGGAGAGTATGGAGACGAACCGTGACAGTAGGGGCTATATGAAGTACAACCTCGAGAACTCAGCCATCCTTCTGCGCGAGGCCTTTCCCAGGTCACACATCATCGTCATCCGGCCAGTGCGGTGAGTGTTTGGAAGATGCAATTTTAATTTCATATTTATATTTATCCTTTGCTTTTTAATTCTAGCATGGAGTTCAAGACATTCAGCTGCTTCGACAACTTTGTGAGGGGCAACAATGCTGGAGTTCCGGATCATACGCCCATGAACCATGCCCTCCAGCATCTGGAAAAGTATGTCGAATGTGTATAATACAAGGAAACCCCACTAAAACATATAGTTTATCCCAACAGACTGCTCCAGAATCTGTCGCAGCGGCTAATTTCTATACCCGAGAACGAAATTCTCGATCAGGCGGCCCAAGCGGCGGCAGCTGCGGCGGCGGTGGCTGCTGCTGCTGCGGCCGCTGCACTGACGCTATCCAACGCCACGGTCAACTCGGAGTCCAACTCGCAATCGGCACCGGCCAACGACAGCAGCCAGGAGATGGACATTGACATACTGCAGGTGCAGGAGAATATCACAGTGGATGCGGACGGGGCAGTTATATTTCCCATTGTGGGCGGTGAGGCGCCGGAGACGGTGAACAATGTGTCCGGAAATAATGGTAACATCGGCGGCGGTGGCAACGATGAAAGCGTCAACAACCACCAAGAGCAGGTGAACAACCAGCAGCTGCAACAGCAGCAGACGGCGGCGGCCATTAAGATGACTTCTCCCACAGCAGCGCTAAATGCCACCAACAACGTGGAACACTACAACAACGATTGTGCCACGAGGCCTGTTCCTGCTACCACTGCAACATCAGCTTCGGCAACGGCAACTTCTACATCCACAGCCACCAGCGACAGTAATCCGCTGTGGTGGCGGGAGAACCTCAATCTGGACAAGTCCAAGCTGGTCCTGATTGGCTTCAGCAAGGGCTGCGTCGTGCTCAATCAAGTGAGTCGCGTTTGGTTCGTTAACTGGTTGACCCACTCGCCACAGCGCCTACACTAATTCCTTTCAGAACTGTCGCTAAAATTGGAGAAGGGTTTAAAATATTTAATCATTTTTAATTTCCCACAAACTTGGTTACTATCTCAATTACTTCTTATAGAATTTTTAAAGTATGTTTAGTTCAAATGATTAGTTATTCTGTTAAAACCCAAATATAAAAATAATACCATCTCTTGGTTTGTTTTTAAATCAACTTGCAAAGAAAAGAAATTAGTTAACCACTGGCCCCATATATTGACTTAATGCAAAGCGATAATTACATCACAAAATGTTGATATAATTTAAAAAAAAAACGTTTTGATTAAAAGAAAAAAAATTTGGAAAGATTTAAATATTTCAATTATTGCAAAATGAATTAAAGAAATTACAAAATTTACCAGAATCTGAAAGGAAATCGCATCTCTGACCTTTCTAATCTTAAATCGTAATTGTTTTGCAGTTCATCTACGAGTTTCACTATCTGAAAACCCTGACACCCGACGACAGCAGCATGTGCCGACTGCTCTCCCGCATCTCGGACATGTACTGGCTGGATGGCGGGCACGGGGGCCAGAAGAACACATGGATCACCTCCCGCAGTCTACTGGAGACGCTCACGCGCATGGGTAAGTGGAGAGAGTCCATTTCGACTGGCACAATCTAACGAGTGGGAGTCTTTAAGCAGGAATGAACATCCACGTACACCTGACGCCCTACCAAGTTCAGGATGACCGCCGACCCTGGATTCGCAAGGAAGAGAAGCTGTTCACGGAGATGCTGAGGCGGCTAAATGCGCCGATCACCCGTCACCTGCACTACGACAACCAGCCGGCAAACCTAATGACCCACTTTGAGGTGCTTCAGGCCTTCTGCCAGCATGTCCATGCTCTGAACCAGCAGCAACAGCAGCTCCAGCAGCAACAGGGACTGGGAATCAGTGAGCAGTTGGCGGCGACGGTGGCCACCAACAATGGTAGCAACAGTCTGTTGGAAGCCGGCGAGGAGGCAAAGTGACAGCTGCAACTGCATCCGCATCACCACAGGCGTCGCTTGCATGCGATGCGCAAGGGGACCGCCGCCCTCAAACGTCAGCAGGTGGCGCAGCTGCGCCAGCATCACCAGCAGCTGCTAGCTGCCGCTCCTGAGCTCGCGCTAGCCTCCTCTTCGCGCCTGGCTGCGGCCTTGATCTCGTCGGCGGTGGCCTTGAGCGCCTCGTCTGCGAGCCTTGTAAATAATCATCACCATGGCCATATGCAACAACAGCAGCAACAGCTGCCGCAGCCGCCACTGGCGCGCCATCATCACCATCAGGCAACATCTCACAGGCATCACCATCATCACCACCACTCACATCATCACTCGCACCACCATCATCATCAATGTCGCTCGAAACGCAAACTGCAGAAATTGTATTATACGCTTTGCCGTTAGATCTGTAACTTATCTATATCTATGTATACTTGTATGAGAGAACGTTTCTTAGAACCACTAGCATCAGCAGCACGTAGATTAAGTCGATTCGCACACCCACCACGTCTCCTTTTACCAGTCCAGTGATTCGTACCTCTTTTTTTGTATATGTATTTATTTATTCCAATTTTTTTTCGTACTCTTACAAATCTCATTTTCGTAATTGGCCCTAAACTGAAAGAAAAATCTCATCAGTGCAATAATATACATACATCTATAGATATATATATATATATTTATATATATATACTGATTTTAAAATCATGTCTTATTTTATACAAACACTCCAAGCTATTTATTGTAATTGAAAAAGATTTGTGATTTGCGCACATGATAGAAACTTCGTAGAGCAACCACTGTAATTGTAGCGTGTCTCAAGCAATTTTCGTTTTAAGTACCCCAAGGAATTTATATATCATCCGCACAGACGCATTAACCTAACCAGCCTAGAACACACACACCCCACAAAGCCCTCTGATTAAGTATTACTTAGCGTACGTAGGCTTTACTTTAAGTTGCAACAGGCAAGAAAACCACAACAAAATGTACTTTACTTAGGTCGATCCTCAGTTTCTGAGGCGAGTCGAGAATCAGCATTCTTCTCGTCCAGGCATAGTATACGTAGTTTTTTCTGATTGTGCTGGGCAAGTCAAAGAAGTACTCAATGCGAATAAAATGAATTTTGTCAAGTCAGATCCGAGAAATAATTGTAATGGCGCGCGTTCCTTAAACTATATATATCGATATGGAGATCATTACCGCTTCCGCTTATCCAACAGGCAAGACAAACAGCAAAACGAGAGAATCCAATTTATCTTAAAGTGCATAGAAGGGAATAATTACACAAAATTTCGTACCTTTGTAGAATTTGCAGTTCAAAATTGCTTTAGAGTTTGTCGGTGTACATTTTACGAATTAAAAATGCACAAAAATTTTTAGGCAAGAAACCTATTAACTAAAATTACAGACGGTCATACCATATGAATGTGTATGTAGATGTAAATTGAACATTATAAATGAAAACGCTGCGAATTTGAAACCAAAAAAGTTCAGAGAAAGTCAATCTAAGAAATCTAATAGAGTTCCCAATGTAAATTCTACTGATTTATGTGAGTCTGGTAATAAAATGAATAAGCATATACGGATAAAATAAGAAACCCTTAGGGGAATTTTTCTGTTTTCACAAATAGTTTATAATATATAAAATTGAAATGATGTATTGCAGGTGATTATATTTTAAAAATCAACGTATTTTTAAATACCTATATCGCTCTGCATATCAAATTCTTTAATGTGAAAACTTGGAAAGTCCCCCTTATCGTATTTCTTGGACTCATTTTTGTTTCTTTTATTGAATCTACTTACTTTAAAATAAATTACAATTCTATTGTATTCGTACAAAAAATATCGCTTGTGATGCGCCAGACAGCTTCATCCTTGAGATTAGTGTCCTGGGTGCACAGGTGGAGGAGGTGGATGCGTAAGAGGATTAGGCCGGAACAATTCCCCGCCAGCAACTACGCACAGTCGTTGGGGCACTTAGCCCCTGTGGTCCATTCATCGCTGCCGTCGCAGCAGTCACAGACGTGGTCATTGATCCGACTGCTGGCCACATAGACATCCAGGCCACGACCCGTGATGTGACGCTTCTGGTAGCGGCAGTAGAATCGCCCCTTGGCACAGGCATTCGTGCTGGGCTCATCGCTGCCATCGTCCTCGCAGTCGCAGTAGTTGTCGTTCAGATGGTCGAAGGCGATGTCCTTGGAGCCGTCCAGACACCGGAACTTGCCCTCGAAGTTGGGCTTGTAGGCATCGTAGTCGAAGAGCCGGGTGCCCCTATACGGATTATGAACGAAATGAAGTACTCATGTAAGCCTGGAAGTAAAAACGTTCCTACCTAACAATCTTGATGGGATCCTCATGGCCAGCAACCGCTGACGTGGCTCCAACCGCAGGATTAACTGCATCCACTCCTTCGCCATCAAAGTCATCTACATCGCGTTGCTTGCTGCCTAGCGACTGCATCATCTGCTGGTGCTTCCGCTTGATCTGCTGTAGATTCCATGGAGCAGGCACTCCTGGCAGCTGATTCAGCGAGAAGGCCTAATATTATTGCTTACTTATTGTGAACACTTTGCACCAAATCCTTTTGGAAGCTCACCTGATACGCGATAAAGGATATCCCGACCAGGAAGATGAGCAGCAGGAACATCTTCGACTTCTGCTTGTAGAAGGGCTTGAAGTATATGTTCTCCCTCTTCACCCACGTCTTGCGCATATTGTCCTTGTCTTTTTTCTCTGGTAATGATCTGTATAAAAAAAATGTTTTGTTTACGAAGTCGCATTGTTTTTGTCCATGCTGTCGTTGGTCAACACTGTTTCGATGAAGCGCAGGGTTGCCAACACCCTCAGGAAATTATATTTAGATACTGCGTGATCTATATTTGTTTAAAAAAATTGGGATGTTATATGAAATAACTTAAAAACAAAATAATTCATTTTTAGTTAAGGAAATACTTCTGACTAAGAGAGTAAAACTAAAAAAAAAAATGTAATTATTACCTATATTATAAGTATCAAAAAACTATAGTAATTTTTTGGGATAAGTAAAATATTTTAACTACTTTTTAAGAAATCTTATTAAAGCTAAAGAGTTTTATATAAAATATTTATAATTGTGTGACTATAATTGGCATACAATTACCTTAAAATGAAAATGTTTATTCAGTTGGACACACCTATTATATTTGTAATTTGTTTAACTTTGTTCAGTTTATTTTATGAAAAATAGTTCACCCCACAACAACAGCAATTCATTTGCATAGAACAAAACACTCTTTTATTTCTTCATTGTATAAATAGTTAAATTTGAGGAATAGATCTAAGATATCAGCTCTGGTGATAGATTATAGATCTCTTTTCTTGCGAGCATGTTTCATTTTATACCAGGTAGTTGTGTTTTGTTTTTGCGTGGACTCGTAAATACAGTGGATATTTGACCATACAGCTTAAAAAATCTGAGATAGGTTTATGATGTGCGAGGGGAAAATAAATAAATTCAAATGGAGGAAGGAATGGTTTTGGTAGTCTTGGAGGAATTAGGCGGCCTTTAGGAAGGCCTCATGCTTGTACACCTCGATCACGTTCTCAATAATTTCCCACTGGTTCTCGCGGGTAAAGTCCTTGACTAAGGGCTTGTACCACATGGCAGATTCGTCAGACTCGTCGGTGAGCGGCACCTGAATGCCGTATGTTTGGAGGGCCAGTGACAGACACCCAATGGCCACATGGGTGGGCTTGTACTTAAGGATATTGGCGCTGTGGTGGAAGTCCTGCAGATAGGAGGCAGCTGCCTTGGCAATGGGCACTGAGTTCCACACCTCTGCGCCCACCCAGTCTTGTAGGGTCTTCATGTAGTGAAGTAAGTACTAAAAATTAGGTATTAGATTAGGAACTGCTAGGTTTCTCCTAGTGAAGGACCCACCTTGTGGGCCAGGTCTATGTTGAGATCAAATCCCAGTGTGCGTGTGATGAGCAGCTCGGCCTGGACAATGGCATCCCTCATCGACCAGTACTCATCGTTAAGATCCAGTGGGGCATTTCCCCGGTTCAGGGTGCAGTATGCCACGTTGATCACATCGCGTATCTTGACACTTTCGTCATCCTTTATTTTGCCGGCCAAATACAAAGAGGAAGCGGCAATTAGCTGGGGATTAAAAGGGATACACTATGAGATGGGATTCATTTTGGGAGGATGGTATACCCACGAACTCATCGTAGTCACTGGCCTTGACCTCCCGGAAGAAACGATGGTATACGATGGCCGCACAGGCAGCTGTCAAGGGCTTCATTTTTAACTTGGCAGCGCACTCAAAGATGTACAGGGGCACCACGCCGGGTTTGTTCAATTTTCTGGACAGGATGAAATTTAGATCACAAAGATATATGTCAAATAGGCATATAGAATTACCGATAGTCGATGGGCTTCATGGTCTGCGCCTTGTTCGACTCCACGTGCTGCTGCAATGACATTACATCCAAAACGTTTTTCATACTGCCAGACCAATCTGAACTGAACGAAAGGATGGAGGTGATTTATTTAAAAACCCAGCGAGTTCGTTGGCACTCGAGGAGTAAATGTTGGGGAATGAAATGAAACCACCGAAAAATCGAGAGGCGACAAACCGGTTTGATTCGACTGCAGCGTTGTAATGAAAGATATGCAATGCGATTGGGAAAACTAACGGGGTCGGCGGTACGTCAGCTGTTGGACTGGGATCCAAATAAAATGGTGGCCAGGTTTGATTGTTTTAAGACCCCGAACCCCCTCCTCAACTGGCTTTTCAAAAATTGTACCTACTATTAACAGTGGAACAGCTGTTGACCTAGACAGTGTTGATTAACTGTTGCTCACGGTAATCGTTACAATCAATTAGCCACTTTCTTTAAATGTTTCTAACTGTCGTTTATCTAAAAAATTAACTTTATACATTAAAATTTTTAAACCAAGTGTGTCAAACTCTCCACACAAAAATAGTCGCTGCCTAACACTGGGCTTGTTAAGTGGAAGCTCTCTTACAAATCCACACTGGGGAAAATCAGGCAATCCTTTTTAGTGGCATTCAAATCATTAAAAATTTTGAACAGTACATATTCGTAATCTAAATTCATAAAATATTTCGATTTCTACTTCGATTTTATAGCAGCCTGTTTAATAAAGTTATTTATAAAATTCAATGAAATTGGTATATTGTAGGGTGAATAACATTTTAATATATATTGTAGCATTTGTACATGTTTTTTTTTCTTAGTGCAACGATGACAACTTTTGATAGGCGATAGACGCACATCGATAGCTCTCGATGAAATACACATCCCTATCGCCGCCAGCTGTTCCCCATTGCTCCCCCGCTCCCCACCACCCACACGTATTATCATTGCGAAAACCAAGTGCAACAGCAGTTTCTCAGCCAGCCAAAACAGCAAATGCGTCGCAACCAGTGGAAAATGGATCAATAAAGCGCAAACCTGCAACCCCTGACCACTAATTGGATTCCCTCGGGCGCCGGGCGACAGGAAACGGAAATTGCCACCCAGCGAGGCCAGCGAATCGCTTGCGAGATACACAATACACAACAAAGAAGCAAAAAGTTAGGATGAAGTCTACCAAAACGCGGGCTGCGCGCCTCACAAGCTTGACGGAGGATGTGGCCGTCGTTCCGGAGGATGCACCCTTCCGGGCACGCCTCCACTTCCTGTTCGCCCAAATAGAGCGGGAGTTCGAGCAGCTTTATCTGGAGAATCAGTCCCGTAAGTACCTATGTAAATATATATATAATAAATTTCATATTCAAATTTTCCCTATGAGAACCAGACTTATAAAGCAAAATAATTATTTTTCCCAAGAGAATCTACATATTTGAATATTATTAAAACCAAAAATACATTGATTGTTCTTAGAAGTGTCAAAAAAAGTTAATAAATTTAAAATTTATAACGTTGTCGTTAATGAAAAAATTTAATTCAACAAATTAACCTTTAACTATATTCAATACAGTGCAAGAGAAACTAGAGATAGCCACCGCCACCAAGGAGTCGGTGATCCAGCAGGAGCAGCGCGTCACAGCAGGAGGATCCCTAAGCGCTCAGGCTTCTTCCACAGCCCTGGCCACGCCAGCCACACAGTCAGATGAAGTGGGTGGCAGTTTCCTGGCCGCCGCATCCAGCACACACAAGAGCCTGAAGGCCAAACTAAGCAGCGCCACCGGCGGAAGCAAGGCGAAGGCTAGCAACAAGATCAAGGCCCAGACCAGCCGCATCGTGTCCAGCTTCAAGGCACCCACAGTGGTCAGCACGGTGGTGCGCGAATTCGGCGGTCACAAGGACGGCATCTGGCAGGTGGCCGCCAAAGCGGGACAACCCATCATCGGCACTGCCTCAGCCGATCACACGGCCTGCATCTGGGGCGTTGAAAGCGCCAGATGCTTGCTGCAGTACCAAGGACACGCAGGCTCCGTTAACTCCATTAAGTTCCACCAGCAGCGGGATCTCGTGCTCACTGGCAGTGGCGATGGCACCGCACACATTTGGCAGGCGGCCGTCAATTGGGAAGTCCCAAAGTGAGTATCTAATTTCTTTAATTTTTAATAGATTACATTTACATCCATTTTTTTTTAGAAAGGGCCATTCTTCAGAGGAGGAACTGGACGACAGCGATGAACAGGTTGAGGACCGCGATCGCGTGGACACCTTACGCACTCCGCTCTGCGAGTTCACTGGGCCAGGGGGACACCTATCGGTGGTGGTGGCCGCCGACTGGCTCTCCTCGATGGACCAGATCATCACGGGCAGCTGGGACCGGACCGCCATCCTGTGGGACGTGGAGACGGGCCAGCCACTGCAGCCGCTCACGGGACACGACCACGAGCTGACCCACGTGTCGGCGCATCCCACCCAGCGTCTGGTGGTCACCGCCTCCAGGGACACCACGTTCCGCCTGTGGGACTTCAGAGAGGCCATTCCGGCAGTCTCGGTCTTCCAGGGACACTCGGAGACGGTTACGTCCAGTGTGTTTGCCCGGGATGATAAGGTGGTGTCCGGATCGGATGATCGCACAATCAAGGTGTGGGAGCTGCGCAACATGCGATCTGCTTTGGCCACCATTCGCACGGATTCCTCTGTCAATCGACTAGCGGTGTCTAGTGGTGGTATCATCGCCATACCGCACGACAACAGACAGATCCGGCTCTTCGATTTGAATGGTCAAAGAGTGGCCCGATTGCCACGAACCAGTCGGCAGGGCCACCGAAGGATGGTGTCTTCGGTGGCCTGGGCTGAGGAACCACTGCTTGATTGCGACCTTTTCTCTTGTGGCTTCGATCGCCGCGTTTTCGGCTGGTCCATCGTCCTGCCGAAGGACAATTGAAGGCGGCTGAAACGGAGAGCTGCTCCAAAGGAATGAGGAGGTGCAGCGCTGCGGAATCCAAACATCTCTCGAACAAAGCATCTCATAGCGATGCTCATAACTTATGTGTAAACCGTTAATCATAGATCAAGTATTATGCAAACATTGTTCAAGATGTTAAATATCTAGATGTAGCCCACTGAGTGTAATTATCGTTGCTTTTTGCCAAATAGTCGTGGCATATTGTGCTGCACGTATACTACATATTATCATTGTTATAGCGATCGGAGTGCAGAGCTTCCGACGTCCAGTTCCGATTTAATCTGTGTTTTACTACCATAATACATATTATAGATGTCTAAGGCATGAACGTTTTAGCAAACATGAATAAACATAATCAAGCACCCGATTCATCGCTGGGTATATCTTAAAAATTGAATTTGACTTGGCTTTGAATCGTTTTGGAAATGGGAAGAAATTAAGCAACTGGTTTCGCTCATATAAAGGAACAAAACTGTTGTATAGTAATGGGAATCATCCTTTAAATCTGATTATATATTTGATAAAATCCCTCGTATGCATAAAATGTGGCATAACTTATCAGTATCTAAGGCAATATTTTTGTAACGATTAATAATTATATACATATACTCCACTGTCCGATTCGTGGCAATATCTTTGGAATAAAATGGCAACTGCTCACAGGTGAGCAAACTTCAGCACCAGCAAGCCGACGAGAATGCCCACCTCCAGCAGGATAATGAGGATTAGGATAATCTTGTTGTAGAGCACTTCCCGGCCCAATTTTCGGATGATTACCCTCGACCTGGACAGATCCTGATCGGCGTCCTCCAGGCGGCGGGCGGTGCGCAGTAGCGACTCTCTCTGCTCGCCCAGTTCACCTAGAACCTGTTGATCGAAAATTGTTTATTAATCACACCCCTAAATTGTTTTTTTCGCGTATTAACCTCCGCGCCCATGGTCTCCGTTTCGATTGCAATCTGGTTGGACCGCTGAATACTGTCCGTCGTCCGCTGCAGTACGTCATAGGTGCTGGCCGAGAGTTGGGCCTGCCTGCGCTCATGGTCGCTGCCACTGGGCAGCTGGCTATACCCGGCGTAGGACATGATTTTGACGAAATTTTCCAATTAATTAAATGCAAAATCCAAAACAAAACAAAGAAGAAGTGTGACCGAAATTTCACCAAAAACCAAGTGCGTCAAAACATGGGCTAACGCATTGTAATTTATTGTGAATGACAATGCAACCTGTTGTCTCTTTACACGTTAAGCAGCACTGGCTTATGTTTGAATTTAAAAAAAATAATTTAAATTCATTGAAATATTTTACATACCAAACCAGCGTTAATATATTATTATTAATAAGAATAACAACATACAAATTATAAAATAATATATATTTTCTTAAAAATCTTGTTTCTACATTACATACTCGTGTTTATTTTGATATCTTTTAATGTTGGTTTTATATTTCTTATAAAAACTGTATAAGATAATAATTATAAATAAATATAGTACTCATATTTTGTCATATTCATAATATTTAAATTCACTGAAATAATATTTTTTTAATAGTTTGACATAATTTAATATTCTTACCAATTGTTTGTTGTTTTGATGATATGATGTGTATATGTCATCATTATTTAATGATTCCTGTAATTATTGTGTTTGATTGATATTTTTTTTGATTTGACAATTAATGTTTTTTGTTGAAATAACAAGCAATTGACAATTTTATTTGTCAGACAGGGATAGTTAGTTTTGCTACCTAGAAATAGAAAATGTCCCCATTTATCAGTACCATTTCAGCTAAAGATCGATCGACTCACCTTGTGCCCCGCCCACCTCAGTTGCTAGGGCCGACAAGAGGGGCGATTTATAGTGCCTGACAAAACCAAAACAAACAACTGTCAATATCAACTCGACTTATCTAGACCAGGGAATTACTTGGTTGAAGCGTTATTAATTTAAATTGATAATGGGGGAGTCGGTGGCTACGCAATGCGGACATTTGTACATATGTAGTACTCGAGGATTTCGACTTTAGTACGAGTATTTGTCGATTTCTGATTTCTAATTTCTGATAACGAACCCCGATCATACTTAGTGGGCATGCCCACTTGGGGAGAGTGAGTGCTCGATAGAGAGTCGGATCCTATAGAGGGTGTGAGTTATAGAGAGTGAGAGATATGGAGAGCTGATTCGCGAGGTTCCCAAGTCGCGGCAGCGAGTGCCAAATTTAAACGCAGGCGATCGTTGGCGGTGAGCAGACGTGTGCTCCGCTCGATTCAGATTCAAATAAAGATACTACGGATACTCTCGCTCGGCAACAAACAAGTTCTAATTTTATCGCTCGCACTCGCGGGGAATCGAATCTGGTGTCTTTGGCATTAAAATTGTTTTCGGAGCGGTGAAGGTAAGCGAAAAACTCGAAAAACCAAGCGGGTTCAAGGTGATCTTGGGTTGATCTAGGGTTTATCCCCAGAAACTAGACTACTGATCAAAAGCACGTGCTCTATCAGCCAGAAGTATTCGTAATTTAACTCCAATTGCCTGCATTCTGGCACGTGATGCTAGCTAGTTACACCCACTAGTTTGCAAAGTGGGGTGGGGGGCTTACCTGTCATGGGACCTATTGTGCAAACACCTGTCAGAAGTCACAGCTAAAGTCAGAGCGCCAGATACCTGGCTACCGTAGTGCTATCTCTTTCCGAAACCCGCAAGTATCTCTCAGATACGCACCAAGTTTCGCAGTGTGAGTGTTAGTCATAATACTCTCCACAGTATCTGTGAGTCGCGCTCTCTTACAGAGTCGTGAGTTTTCGAGTTTTATGCAATCATATGTGGGGGCTATCATGTGATCTTCGCTTTTTTGCAGCTTTGCCTAGAAAAATCTTCCGCTGGAACAAAAACCCAAAAAGCTGAGCTCAAGTAGTTGCAAATAGCAAACAATAAATTCCATTCGATTATGATTTATGGATCGCGCTATAAATTTGCCGTAGCACTTCCATCGATCAATCAATTTTTGCTGATTAGCCACAGCCACAGCAGACCCAGTTTATGAATGGAAAATCTGAACGGTTCTAGAAATCTAGCAGTTCCACATCTGAAGTATAGTATTTGCTGCACAAGTGCTCGTCTGGGGAATAAGCTATAGCCATTTAAAGCCCTGGCACTTGAGTTCCCGATCTCCAGTTGCGTAACTCTACCACTTATCAGCATTTTGCGACGAGAATTGCACTCCAATCGGAATATTGCAGAATTAAATGAGCCTCGCCTTTTATTGGCTCTTTATTTTTCTTAAGCTTATATGACACTCGATTTAATATGTAGTTTGTAAAGTATTCATATTTTTTAAAGAAAATCATGTAATATACATTTGTCAATGGGTTAACATAGTGACTCGTCATTTTTTAATAAAACTTTAGGAAAGTTATGTACTAAGATATGAGCAAAAGTCTATTTAAAAGTGCTTAGAATTTATTAGCTAGCTTCCGTTTTACAACTTCAGTATATTATTAGTTCCCGGCCATAAGTTTGATGATAAGCTAGTGCCATATGCCCATAATTGGTTTTTGTGACGCAATGGAGGAGCCATCAGAAAAATTTGTAGTACTAGTGTATCTTTACTGTTGAAGAAAATGAATTGAATTGACAATTGGCGTTAATAAAAAGATGACTCTGGTATGTTTTTGTTTCTCGATCGCCTTCATTTGTGGATTCCCATTAAATTTGTTCGTATATTTGTGTGAGCGAGTTCTTAATTACCCGCAGTGAAAAAAAAAATAATTGTCATAAAAACAGAGCGCAAGAGCACAATAAAAAGTAGAAGTTATATTCGAATTCGAATTAACAACAAATAGAGAGTAGGGAAATGGAGAGTAGCGGATGCGAAGACCAAAGAGGAAAACGATAAAGAGAGAAACAAACAAAACAAAGTAAAAATTTAACGAAACTTCGAAGCGTAGCGATATTAGCCTACGCACACATGGGCGTGCGCCCGCTCCCAAGAAAAGGGGGTTGTCAATGTCAACCGCTCGCTCTCTTTCTCTTTTTCGCTGCCTCGCCTCTTCAACCTCCCTCTCCGCCCCCAACCAACGTTCGATTAAATGTGATTAAGGCTCACCCACAACTCGCGTGAGTGAGCCAGGAGCAACAACAACTGCATATGAACTACAGTGGAGCTCCCTATAAATTTAATGTCATCCGCAAATTTAATCCCATCCGCAACATAAATGGTAAATTTCACAACGCCAGGTACATAGATATGTATGTTCATAAGTTGTTAGATTAAGATCAGTTTGTTTGTCTTTATGGAATGCTATAAGGTGTATTTAACTGTCAGATTAAAACTTATTAGGAAGATGAAAAACGGGCCTAAAATCTGATCACTCCTACGCTCAATTCGAAAGAATGTTTAATTTTGACTAACTGGATGGGGTATGAAATAATCTATCATTTGACAACTAGAAAAGGACTATAAGATATTCAAGCCAGTGAAGCTTACCTGTATATCGTGGTAGCCTACACCCACACACACGCACGCAAGGCTAGGCTAGAGTCCACTCACGAAAGTGACCAGCAAAGCGGAGAGAAGAAAAAAGAAGAGGGAGGAGAGAAGAAAGGGGGATAAGAGAGGAGAGCAAACGGCAATGGCAACGCCGCTTAGGGCTTAGTTGTTGTTTTGAAGTTGAACTGGTTTACAGTTAGCAGTTAGCAGTTAGCTAGTTGGTTCAGCTGCGCTCAGTGTTTTTTCGTGTTCGAGCTGTGCGTGTGAACTGTGATACGGTGATATTGTAATATTGGGCAATTGCAATTGGAAACTCGATTCGAATTTTTGTTAATTTTATTAAAACGAAAGTGCGCTCGTGGAATCATTAAACAGCATTTGAGCAGGCAAGTTGCAATTGTATTACCTGTTTTTCGAATACAAGCGGGTTTCGTGGGTGTTCTTGGCAGTGGGACTACGAGTTTCGAGTGAATTAATGGGAAACGAATAAATATTTACTTTGTTTTTTGTTAAGGCTTCATTCTTCCCAGAGAATTTAATTTGTCCTCAATTTGATATTGTGTTTATACAATACGATTGTATACGGTTTTTAGATTATTATATTTATACCCTAACTCAGATATTTCTGAACTGTTATTTTATTGGTTTATGTGTGAACAAAAAAAACTTCCTCTTAAAAATGACTTAATTAGTTTTGTATGCTTAAAAAAATGTACATAAGAAAGGATATTTAGGACTTGAGCTGTTTGGCCTCCCAAGAGTCTGCTTTTCAAAGGGAAAACAATTTATTTCCTATTAAAAACGATTATAACTTTAATAATTAATTATTTGTACGGCATTACTGTAGGTAATAAATAATTGACTGATTACTGCCGTTGACCATGGGCTATAGCTGAGCAATTACGAAGTTCTAAATTTGTGCTAATTACCCGAGCTAACGATGCACTAAATGGCATTGTAAAGTTAACAAGTAGCCGCGTTATATTCGAATTTTGTCATAAGGATTTTCCGAAGCCCCTGTTTCGGCACACGCCAATACTAATTTAATAATACAATAAAAATGTACAAAAACAATTTGCCGGCAAAATTCTAAAATGGCTTTACGAGCGGAGAATAAGCCACATTCATAATTAATAATAAGAGCAATTAAGGCTGCGAATTTCATGACTATGCTATTTTTAGAGAAGTGGCGACAACCAGCCAACGATTCTTAGTTATAAAAAGCCAGAAAGGAACAACAAAGTGTCAACCTACATACATATTTGTTGCGCTGATAAAAGTGTAAACGAGAAATGCTGAAACTGCTCGAAAGATATGGCGACAAAGGGCGCAACAGGCGATTGGGAGCATCAAGTGGATCGAGTTGTACAGTCACAGTGCCATTCCACTGCAAATTTGATATCCATAAGCCTTGGGGGAATTCGAACCTACTGTTCAAATCCGACTTTAGCTTTTTGCAGTAGCAGGTCATGTGATTAATGGACCTAAAAGCACCGCAGGTTGGGTTTTTGGTGGATATCTATGACGTTTTCTCTCTAACTGGCTCCTGGCCAATTGTCTGGGCCATTTGTTTGTTATTTTAATGCTGTTTTACAAATGAGTCGAACGTCGCTACACTGAAAAGGAAAAATTCTACTAAAATTATGAATAATTGTTATAAGCATAGGTTATGGTATCATAAGTTCTTTTCGCAAAATGACTTACGAAATGAGTCAACACTTATAAAGTCTCAACAGCTCTGGGTGGTGTCCCGTCCGGAAATTCCCGGTCATTTTTGATGATACAGGCTTATTATTCCTAATATTAATTGCACAAAAAAAAAAAGAATTTTATGTTTTTGAATTGAAATTTATTCCAAAGTAAAGTCGTATCAGTTTTTTTCAATTTTAGACATTCTATTCGAGATTACATCTAATAAACATTATTTTTAAAATACGAAATATTGGTCTCGATCGTCTTAGTTCTTTTTAAGGGCAGTGTTCTTATTTGTTGTTGACGATGACGAGAACATATTCTTAATACATACTACTTAAATATAAATGTATCTACATATAACACATCATCCGTTGTATATCTACCGCAAAAAGCAAAAGCTAATTCTCTCCTGTCGGGGAATGGGAATGGGTATTTGGATGGAATCCGGGGCCCGGGGACCCATTAAAGTTCGATAATGTGCGAGGCTGACGTCGCCGTGTCGTTGACTGTTTGGCCCGATGATGTCACAACAAACCTTGGTGTCGTCTGTGTGCACACTGCGAAATGGCGAAATGCTCTCGAGTGCAGACACCACAATGCTGACTATAGACTAATGCCCTTCCCCAGGACCTGCCCCACCCTACTATATGTCATTCTACAGCTCACCACCACTCCCACAAACGCGTCAGCACGGAGGCGACCCAATTAAATCAAAAACAGTAATTACTTGCATTATCTGAGTTCCACCGATTTTGGGAGAAGTCAACTCTATTTGCACATGGCCGGGTTATACTTGATAATGTTACAATTATCAGTTAATTTGCTGAATTTTATCTGTATTTTTGTAGGTACCGGCATATGTTTTTGTGGGTTTTTGGATGGCTCAACTGACTTAAGGAATAAATCGAGGAAGAGAATGCATTCAAAGTCGACATAGTGATAAGAACTGTTTTCTGGGCTGTAAACAATATTGCAGCGGGTCTAGAGATAACTTAAGCACAGTTAAGATTACGAAGGCAAATAACCCTTTTAGATTACCTATTTCAAGCAATGACAATTAGGGAAAAGAGAACGAGTTCTTTTAAAGTATATAATAATATAATAAAAAAAAACGAAAAAATTAACGAGATACAATAATGTTAAAACTCACATCGAAAACTAAGCCATTTTGTCTGGCTAGACATCTATAAACAATGAGCTCGACACACTTAAGATATCTTGAGTCATTATAATTTGATCATAAATCAGTTAATTCTCGGAATTGAAATTTTGTTGATATCGTATTATGATTTCCTTTGTGGTCCCAATCGTACTTCATATCGTTTCAAATTCCGAATACTTCCACTGTTTACAAAAACAATCAACAAAAAAATCATTCTCAGCAATCTCTTATTGTTGAAATACAAATAATGACTCTACTCCATCTGTGTATTGTCATGTTTCTAGTCATCTGATTATTTAAATATATTGCACAATTTGTATTTACTTTGAATATGTCTTTATATAATCCCAAAATCTCAATTCCAAATCTGTTTATCGAGCCCTTGAAAAAAGTACAACGAGTTTGAAATAAGTTTGTATTTAACGATCCGTTGGAAGTTACGTGATTTGGCAGTAAATTCAAGTATGTAGAACGTGACAAGGTGTTGTAATTTAGGAACCAATACTTATTTGATATCTTATTATATTGACTCTCTTGTTTGATTCTCTTGTTGTGCTAAAAGCCAAAACACATGGTGAGTTTCGGCCAAGTCCCGAGCACCATATGGAGCTGAAAATAGAGTGATTGCTTTTCCACACCAGAGAAAAACAAACGAAAGACAAATAAATAAAATCATTTGCAAGCAAGCCAGCGAAATTTGTACATAAATATGTCGGATAGAATAGGGGGCGAAGAAGCACTGAAAGCAAAAATGAAGGAAAATCAATTACGAAAATTAAAGAAAGTCTAGTTTTATTAATCGACTCACTGAGAATTACATTTATATAGATTTTTAAAACAGTATCTAAACTTACGTATTAAATCGGTAAATCCTCTTTTACCAAAAGTGGAAAAAATTTTAATTTGTTATTTAAAATTCCACTTGTTGCCAATATTTTTTCACGATGTATCCCATTGTTCATCGTATACGATATTGTAGCCCAGACAAAACACTCACTGAGGGCGAAAACAAATCGTGGTCGGTGCTGCCTTTCCTTATTTTAATTGCACGTCTGCGGAATGCCGAAACTAACCCCCATCCCAACCCCTCTTTTCGCCCACAGGGAACGTAAGCAGTCGCCAAGATGGGGGACATGTTCCGTAGTGAGGAGATGGCACTATGCCAGATGTTCATTCAGCCGGAGGCCGCGTACACCTCCGTATCTGAGCTGGGCGAAACCGGCTGCGTGCAGTTCCGCGACGTAAGTACGGATTGTCTTTAACAAATACCCCAACTAATCAGGTGATATATCTTTTCGCAGTTGAATGTGAACGTGAACGCTTTCCAGCGGAAGTTCGTTACCGAGGTGCGGCGATGCGATGAGCTGGAGCGCAAGATCCGCTACATCGAGACGGAGATCAAGAAGGACGGCATCGTCCTGCCCGATATCCAGGATGATATTCCGCGTGCCCCCAATCCACGTGAGATCATCGACCTGGAGGCTCACCTGGAGAAGACCGAGTCGGAGATGATCGAGCTGGCTCAGAACGAGGTGAACATGAAGTCCAACTATCTGGAGCTCACCGAACTGCGCAAGGTGTTGGAGAACACGCAGGGCTTTTTCTCCGACCAGGAGGTGCTCAACCTGGACTCCTCTAACCGAGCTGGAGGAGATGAGGCCACCGCTCAGCATCGCGGCAGGCTTGGATTTGTGGCCGGCGTGATCAACCGCGAGCGTGTGTTCGCCTTTGAGCGGATGCTGTGGCGCATCTCCAGGGGAAATGTCTTCCTCAAGCGCTCCGATTTGGACGAGCCTCTGAACGATCCAGCCACCGGTCATCCCATCTACAAGACCGTCTTCGTGGCCTTCTTCCAGGGTGAGCAGCTGAAGAACCGCATCAAGAAGGTGTGCACCGGCTTCCACGCCTCTCTGTATCCCTGTCCAAGTTCGCACAACGAGCGCGAGGAGATGGTGCGCAACGTGCGCACTCGCTTGGAGGATCTGAAACTGGTTCTCAGCCAGACGGAGGATCACCGCAGCCGCGTCCTAGCCACCGTGTCCAAGAATCTGCCCTCGTGGTCAATTATGGTCAAGAAGATGAAGGCTATCTACCACACGCTGAATCTGTTCAACATGGATGTGACTAAGAAGTGTCTGATTGGAGAGTGCTGGGTGCCCACCAAGGACTTGCCTGTCGTCCAGAAAGCTCTGTCCGATGGATCTGCTGCCGTGGGCAGCACCATCCCATCGTTCCTCAACGTGATCGACACCAACGAACAACCGCCGACTTTCAACCGGACCAACAAGTTTACCCGTGGTTTCCAGAATCTGATCGATGCCTACGGAGTGGCCTCGTACAGGGAGTGCAATCCCGCCCTGTACACATGCATCACGTTCCCCTTCCTGTTCGCCGTGATGTTCGGCGATTTGGGCCACGGTCTGATTCTGGTCCTTTTCGGAGCCTGGATGGTGCTCTGCGAACGCAAGTTGGCACGCATCCGCAACGGTGGTGAGATCTGGAACATCTTCTTCGGCGGTCGCTACATCATTCTGCTGATGGGTCTGTTTGCCATGTACACTGGTTTGGTCTACAACGACGTGTTCTCCAAGTCTATGAACCTGTTTGGATCGCGTTGGTTCAATAACTACAACACGACCACTGTGCTGACCAATCCGTCTCTGCAATTGCCGCCCAACAGCTCCGCCATTGGCGTCTATCCCTTCGGAATGGATCCTGTGTGGCAGCTGGCCGACAACAAGATTATCTTCCTTAACAGCTTCAAGATGAAGCTCTCGATCATCTTCGGTGTGCTGCACATGGTCTTCGGCGTGTGCATGTCAGTCGTAAACTTCACCCACTTCAAGCGCTACGCCTCCATTTTCCTGGAGTTCGTGCCCCAGATCCTCTTCCTGCTGCTGCTCTTCGGCTACATGGTTTTCATGATGTGAGCTTACCTATAAAATTTATCTTTTATTTAATTTAACATTTAATCATTTTATGTGTTTTTCAGGTTCTTCAAGTGGTTCAGCTATAATGCCAGGACGAGCTTCCAGCCAGAGACTCCCGGCTGCGCTCCCTCAGTGCTGATCATGTTCATCAACATGATGCTGTTCAAGAACACACCGCCGCCCAAGGGATGCAACGAGTTCATGTTCGAGTCCCAGCCCCAGTTGCAGAAGACCTTTGTGCTCATCGCCCTGTGCTGCATTCCCTGGATGCTGTTGGGCAAGCCCCTGTACATCAAGTTCACCCGCAAAAACAACGCTCATGTAGGTTTCCTATGAGGCTAAAATGACTTGAACTTGTATTAATAATATATTTATTTTAATTTCCCCGGTAGGCTAAGCACAATGGTCAGTTGACCGGCAACATTGAGCTGGCCGAAGGCGAAACCCCTCTGCCCACGGGCTTCTCTGGAAACGAAGAGAACGCTGGAGGTGCCCATGGCCACGAAGATGAGCCCATGAGCGAGATCTACATCCACCAGGCGATCCACACCATCGAATACGTGCTCAGTACCATTTCGCACACGGCCTCCTATCTTCGTCTCTGGGCTTTGTCCCTGGCTCACGCCCGTAAATATGCCTTTAAAATGACTTTCTGACTCAGTTACTAATACTATACGAATTTTAGAGCTCTCCGAGGTGCTGTGGCAAATGGTCTTGTCCCTGGGCCTGAAAATGTCCGGCGTGGGCGGCGCCATCGGCCTGTTCATCATCTTCGGCGCCTGGTGCCTCTTCACCCTGGCCATCCTGGTCCTCATGGAGGGCCTGTCCGCTTTCCTGCACACACTGCGTCTGCACTGGGTGGAGTTCATGAGCAAGTTCTACGAGGGAATGGGCTACGCCTTCCAGCCCTTCAGTTTCAAGGCTATCCTCGATGGCGAGGAGGAGGAGTAGATCCAACCGAATGTGCTCAAACTAGGGCGAAGTGTATACAATTATCAGCAACCTTTGTTTACTCCCAGCCCAAACTATTTTGATTGTTTGTTAAATGTTTTTGTTTTGTTTAATTTTTGCGGATATTGTCAGTATTGTGGTGCTCTTCCCACATTTTTTGTACCCTCCGTTTTGTATTCCATCTGTTTTAAAAGTATTCCTCATTTGAGTTGTGCCTAGTATTCTCAAAAACTGTTTCAAAAGCAATAATTTGATATTCATTGTTATAATAATACATACTTATACAAATATTAAATGTAATAAATATACTGCAAAGAAGAGAACAGCAAATATGTTTGCCATTTGTGTTATAGCTAATTTCAAGGCAAAGAACGAGTTGGCAGATTTCGAAAATATCAATTTATTAAATATCTGTCGTGTTTTATTAAATGAGATTGGAACATCCTGACCCATTTTTGGTATAACTGTTATACAAAATTTAATTTTTATAGCATTCTTTTAGGGCGTCGTAGGAAATGTCGAACAGTCAAACTTCTTTAACCCGAACCACATAAAAAGTTATAGGTTTGGAGACTTCGTGTTATAGAATTATTTTTGCCTGCATTCGTACTCGTTGCTGACAGTTAAATTAGTTGCACCAATTCAAAATGCTTGTTTGCAAGGATGGCTTATACGTATTTACATTTATTGTAGTTGCTACTGATTACATATGTGTCATATATGTGGTAGACTGGAAAATAATTTGTAATTATCTGACAATTGATTTTTAATTCCAAACGGTTCAGAAATACACCCAAGGCGAACTATCAAATGATAAGGAAAAGACTATAATGTCGGGAAGGGGAGTCGATATTGGGGGAACAGACATTCTATCATATTGATGGATTGCTCAAGTGGTAACTGAGTTCCCCAAATATTTATCCAAGGCAGGCGACTCGTCTCCGTTGATAAGCCGGGAAAGTTGCTCGTGGGTCAGCAATCACCTCAGAACCTTCCTCGTCCAAGTCAAGTGACCAGTCCGATCAGTTCGTCAGCTGCGCTCCGAATGTGCGGAGCCATTCCGGAATTTTTAACTCGAAGAAGGAGCAACAGGATCAGTAAACATGTCCAAGTGGTGGAGCTGCGGCTCCAATCAGGAGAGCAACAGCATTTTCCGCAGCGAGGTGATGTCCTTGGTGCAAATGTATCTGCAGCCGGAGGCAGCTTACGATACCATTGCAGCCTTGGGTGAAGTGGGATGTGTCCAGTTTCGTGATGTAAGTGTTCTGGGGACAAATCACCCACAATCTGAAATATGTTCAAGCTACTTTGACCTCAAAATTTCTAAAACAAGAGTGCCAGGATATAAAAACAAGAAATCCTTCGCAAATATACATATGTATAATAAGAAACAGATTTTTTTGAAATTGATTTAAATGAAATATTTTTGTGTTGGTAATCTGCCCGTATACCGACATAATAAATTGTCAAGCTTCAGCAACCAAATATGTTTTAATTAATATTCAATATATAATATTTTGTAAGCATTCGTTTATAGTACAATGCATTAATTAGTCTTATTAAGAGCAATAGGCATTTCATGGATATTAAGATCTATTCTTTAACAATCTAATCCCAAATAATCTAATTCTTATGTCAGCTGAACGATAAAGTGAACGCCCAGCAGCGCAAATTCATTGGCGAGGTAAGACGCTGCGATGAACTGGAGCGCCGCATCCGCTACGTGACCGCCGAGTTAAACAAGGAAGGTCACAAGGTGCTCGACCTGATGGATGACTTCCCCCCGTCACCGCAACCGCGTGAGATCATCGATCTGGAGGCTCACCTGGAAAAGACGGAGACGGAGATCATGGAACTGGCTGCCAACAATTTGAACTTGCAGACTAGTTTCCTGGAGCTGAGCGAAATGATCCAAGTGCTGGAGCGCACCGATCAGTTCTTTTCGGACCAGGAGTCGCACAACTTCGATCTGAACAAGAAGGGAACCCACCGCGATCCCGAGCAATCCAATGGCCACCTCGGATTCGTGGCAGGAGTGATCAGCAGGGAGCGGGAGTACGCCTTCGAGCGGATGCTGTGGCGCATCTCACGTGGCAATGTCTTTGTTCGTAGGTGCGATGTGGATGTTGCCCTCACGGATCCCAAGACAGGCAATGTGCTCCACAAGAGCGTGTTCGTGGTCTTCTTCCAGGGCGATCAGCTGCAGGCCAGGATCCGCAAGGTGTGTACAGGCTTCCATGCCCACATGTACCCGTGTCCCAGCTCGCATGCCGAGCGGCAGGAGATGGTGAGGAATGTGAAGACCCGACTGGACGACCTCCAAGCCATCATCAACCAGACAAGTGACCACAGGACCTGCGTGCTGCAGGCTGCCTTGAAGCAGCTTCCCAGATGGAGTGCCATGGTTAAGAAGATGAAGGGCATCTACCACACGCTGAACCTATTCAACGTGGACCTCGGCAGTAAGTGCCTGATTGGCGAGGGCTGGGTTCCCAAGAGAGAGCTGGAACTGGTGGAGGTGGCTCTGGCCGCCGGATCAGCCTGTGTGGGCAGCACTGTGCCCTCGTTCATCAATGTGCTGGACACCAAGAAGGAGCCGCCTACCCATTTCCGGACCAATAAGTTCACTCGTGGATTCCAGAATTTGATTGATGCATATGGAATCGCTGGCTACCGTGAGGTGAATCCGGGTCTGTACACTTGCATCACCTTCCCCTTCCTGTTCGCTGTTATGTTTGGAGATATGGGTCACGGTACGATCCTCTTCCTCTTGGGTCTTTGGATGGTGATCGACGAAAAGCGGTTGGCTAAGAAGCGAGGTGGTGAGATCTGGACCATCTTCTTTGCCGGACGATATATTATCATGCTGATGGGTCTGTTTGCCATGTACACGGGCTTCCACTACAACGACATATTTTCAAAATCGATCAATGTATTCGGCACTCATTGGGTCAATGTGTACAACAGAACCACTGTGTTGACTAATCCCACCCTAACGCTTAACCCCTCGGTGGCCACGCGCGGTGTTTATCCTATGGGCATAGATCCCATCTGGCAGTCGGCGTCCAACAAGATCATTTTCCTGAACACCTACAAGATGAAGCTTTCGATCATCTTTGGAGTACTGCACATGGTCTTCGGCGTGTGCATGTCGGTGGAGAATTTCGTGTTCTTCAAGAAGTACGCGTATATCTTCCTGCAGTTTGTCCCTCAAGTCCTCTTCCTGCTGCTCATGTTCGGCTACATGTGCTTCATGATGTTCTACAAGTGGGTCAAGTACAGTCCAACCACCGACGTGACGGCCGATAGTCCCGGGTGTGCACCGTCGGTGCTTATCATGTTCATCGACATGGTGCTTTTCAAGACGGAGACGGCCTTGCCGGGCTGCGAAGTCAATATGTTCCCAATCCAGAGGAATCTCGAGATGATCTTTTTAGTGGTGGCGCTTCTCTGCATTCCCTGGATCCTCCTTGGAAAGCCACTTTATATTAAATACCAACGCCGCAACAGGGTGAGATTTGATTAGCCAAGAAGTGTTTCTTACTTAGTTTATTTGTTTTTAATATCTTACTTTTAGCCCGCTGGTCCATTGGTGGAGGTAGACGAGATCGTGGAGAAGATAGAGGTTACTACTGGCAAGGAAATCATCATTACGGAGGTAGCTGAGGCCCACGAGTCAGGTGGACACAGCGAGGAGGATGACGAGCCCATGAGTGAGATCTGGATCCACCAGGCTATCCACACAATAGAGTATATCCTCAGTACCATTTCGCACACGGCCTCCTATCTTCGTCTTTGGGCCTTGTCCTTGGCTCATGCCCGTAATAATTTCCTGGTTCCACAATAGGTGCAATACTAATTACAGATTTTATTTCAGAGCTCTCTGAAGTTTTGTGGACCATGGTGCTGGCGATGGGACTGCAAATGGAAGGATATACCGGTGCTATTTTCCTGTTTTTCATCTTCGCAGTTTGGGAGTTCTTTACTATCGCTATCATGGTCATGATGGAGGGTCTGTCCGCCTTCCTGCACACTTTACGTTTGCACTGGGTAGAGTTCATGAGCAAATTCTACGTGGGAAACGGTTACCCGTTCACGCCCTTCTGCTTTAGGGACATCTTGGTTGTCATTGAAGATGATTAGAAGCACATGGAACAACCCATTAGGTTCCTCATTTAAAAAAAATTAATAAAAGAAGCATTACAAAATACTTTAAATTTACTTTATTAACAACTGCTACAACGCAAAAATATGTATTTTGAATATTTTTTGTTTTCATGATTATTTAAATAGCAAAATAATATTAATGAAATGACTTTAGTTTAGAAAACTATAACATATTGACATAAGGTGTTTTGTATTGAAATGCTTTTGCGGCAGATTTATATTTGCTTGAAATTTAATTTTAGAAATAAGGATAAATAAGTATCCTTATGTTGAAAGTAACATTGTGTTTTACATTTTTTTTAGACAAGTATAAGATAGTTTTTTTATATTCTTTGTAATGCTTATCTTAACACTACAATATTTGAAGCCTTTTTAGCTGCACCTGAAGCTAAAATAAATTGTTGCCATGGACCATTAAATTTTCCGATTTCAAATCTTCAACCATTTCACTGTTGAAAAAAAAGAAAAAATTATTTTCAATAAGTTTTGAATCTCAAGAATAAGGACCACGTTTAATTTACCATTGCCTTAATAGTTCTTGTTTTTAACTTTTTGACATTTTTTTAAGAATTATTGTAACAACTTAATATTATAAAATATTATAATTTACAGTAATTACTTACATGGCATCTCGTTCAATATGTGTTAAAACACGAATTTCATTAACCAACGACTTTTGGGTAAGATTAAACCACTTCTTTTTTGTTTTAAGCTCCTCGGCGATCAAAGAAGTATTTGCATTTATCTCTTCCACATCTTTTTTTATGTTTTCGATATGCTTCTTCAGTTCATGGTAAGGCTGAAACAGTAAACATCTTGGATAAAATTCTTGTTTTTATGATGTAATATTTCATTTAATTTGGCTGTTCAATTTGAAGGTAACGTAAAATATCGTGCGGCACTTTTTGCTGTTCAAGCATCAACTTTTTTTACGCTCTTAGCTACCAAAATATTACAAAAATGTGAACTTAAGCCGTCATTTCTTTAGCTCTCGATTTACTAATATTAAGTATCATTTATTGATCGGATCTCCAATATTTATCTTCTACATGGGGCTTGTCACAGTAATAACCGAAAGTTAAAAGCGTAAAAATTGACACTTTCCTGCATAGCACATTTTAATATATTTGGGAAAATAAAATAATATCATTAATTTTCCGATTGTTCCCTAAAATGGAGAAACGGTATAATCGAGTGCCTCGACTTTAAGATACCCGTTACTAAACTAAACACATTAAAATTAAAGATGCAGTATCTATACTTCAAACAAAGAGCGAGCACCAACCCTGGACCCCACTAACAGATTTTTCTCTCACTTAAATTAACAGAGTTTTTCAAATTGGCAGTGACGTCATAATTAACACTTAAGTTGTATAATGACTTCTAAAATAATTTTGAAAGTTGTTGGTGTGTCCCTAGATATTGACCGAACACATCGTATACCAAATACAACTTGTTTATACCATGTCCCGTCTTAAATAAAGAATTGCGAGTTTGGGAGCAGAGAAGCTCTCATACCATAACGGTGAATTCGTCGAAGGGACTCTTCTGCTTCAGAGCCTCCTTGCCCTTGAGGATGCTCTTGCAGTAGTCTGCATAGGCTTTATCCACACTGTTCTTCTGAATACAAAACTGGTTGAGCGTATTTAATAAAAGTTGGTTCTTGTCTTTCAGAACCTCGATATTGGGCACCACATTCCTGGAGTGAATAATGGATATCAGAGTGGCGTACTTCTCGGCCTGCAGCATCTTCATCTGCTCTTTCATATCGGCGATCTCCGCTGCCTTTTGAGCATTTTCGGCTCGCTGCCATTGAAATCATTATTTAATAAATATATTGTAATTGTTTTTTTGTTAACTTACCAACTTCAGTAGACACTTTTCTAAATAGGCCGTCATTTCATTATCTTCTGTAGGTATCGCGCCATTTGTAGTGTCCTCATTGTTTTCGTTATTTTCAAAAGCCATTGCTTATATAGTTTGGCACCCACAATTCGTTATAATTCCAATTTTATTTAGTTTTATACAAATTATTTAAGCTCTAGCGGAATTTTTGCGTTCAAAATGGCGGAGATAGTGCTAGAAAACGAAAAACATGTTGTTTTTGACAGTAATCGATTTCTTATCGATTAATAAAATAGCGCGTATCTTTAATTTTTTAAATATTTATAATTGATTTTTGCAGATAGTTACTTGAAATTAGTTTAACAATTCCAAAAAGTAGCCAGAAAAGAAAGCTAGCTTTGGCAAGTATCTACTAATGTCTAGAAGTATTAAAACACCTATAAAAATATTCTATCGCCTAGCAACTTAGACGTGATCAAAAATTAAAAAGTCAACGTAAAGTTAAAATTTTGTGGGTAACCTTGCATAGTTTAAAAAAATTACCTAACAGGGTTGAAGTCATTTTAGCGGTGGTCAAGATTTCTAGAATTCACGTTTTCTGACTTCTAACAAACCGTGACCGTGGGCGAGGATGCCTAAGAATATGGCATTTGGCAGTCAAACTCCGACCTCAGTTCAGAGAGGTTCAGAGGTTCATTGATAAACGCAGCATTCCAACGACCCACTTTCATGTGGGTTTGGGTTACGTTGGCGGTGCATTGGAAGAAGGTCAGTGCATCGAGGGCAGCGTTCAGCGGAAAATATTTGCGGAGGGCAGCGAAATTCACTGGTGGGAAAAAGAAACGGGGAGTTTATTTAGAGGTGGTGGTTCTAGAACTCCGGTCAGTTGTGGGCCCATCGAGCAACGGTCAGGTCTCCGGTCTTTCTATACAAATTTTGAACAAACAATATGTGGCACTTGCGCTTCGCTTTGGTTCTGTTGGGCCTGGCGATTGTGTGCTGGGCAGACACCCTGGTTCAGCTCAATGTGAATCGTCCTTATAACGATGTGAATGAGAAATTCGTGAGTTTTGCCGTCCGGCCGGAGGATCTGTACGATGCTTTGGATGGCAAGAATCGCAAGGCGGTGACCAGTTTGGCCAATCTACTAGGAGATGCGCACATCAAGTTCGTGGGAGATTTCTACTTCGCCAGTAATGCCCCGACTAGACTGCGAAACCCCACCAAGATTATCTGGAAGGGATTTAATCGCTGGACCAAGTAAGTCGAAGGTTTCCACTCTTTTTTTCCTTTTATTATCCATGTCTTTTTCTCGAAGGGCCGTAAACTGGACCATGATTATTCCAGTGCCATATGCTCCAGATGAATGGGACTCCATGCACACGCTCAAGATCCTGAACACCTCCTATATGGTGGGCATCACCGACTGCATCTGGCAGCTGGGCACCGATTTTGGCACGTCGAGGGCCAAGGATTACGTCCAGGAGCTGCGAACCCTTAAACTGATGACGGATACCTTTAAACCATATGTGGATGACTGGCGGCTTATGGGAGCGGATATTTCTGCAGGAAGCAGTGCGGATGAAACTAAGAGATATGTGGATATGTCCAAGGATCTGAATACAGCATTTGGGTGGACACAGTAAGTACTTTTTAATAAGGATCTTATAGAATCCTTTGCCTTTAAAGGTCTATTTAATTTGATGACGCTCAAGTTTATATTTTCTATATGTAAACTTAGTATTAACTAATCCCAAACCTATTAATGGAAGTAATTTTAAACAATCTATCAAATTAAATTACAAATCAAAGAACTCATATTATTAAGGTATATTTTAAGGTTTAGTATTGATATTTATTGATATTTACATCCATTGTTTATCACCTTATTACTATGGTTTATGCGACTTTTCTTAATTTCAGGCCCGCAAACATGCTGCCCAAGTCAAGTTTGGGTAGCTACCTGTACGACAGCGATCCTGCCCTGCGAATCCTCCAGCAACAGCGGGTTCCGCTATGGTTGACGTTGCCCGAGGAGCGATCCTCGCAGAGATTAGTGGGCGACGAGACCACGGATGCCCTGCGATGGGCCCAAACGCTGGGGGATGCGGCCACCAGTGGATTCGATGTGATCTTCAAGCGCATGTCCCTATTGGACTTCGAGCGACCCAACTTCAGTCTGTATGTAACTGCCCTGTTCAAGAAGGTCATGGGATCCAGGGTGTTTCCAGCCCGACCCCTGAATGTCTTTGCGCCGAGCAACAAGCTGTACACCCATTGTGCGAGTGCCGTATCCGGGGGATTGGCTTTTATGGTGGTCAACACTGAGGATCAGCCCAACACGATTACGGTGAAGAGTTCTAACCACTTGACTAGCAGCGAGATTTGGCAGTATGTGCTGACTGGTCTGGATCAAAGGGTGCAGCTGAACAATGTTCGTTTACACCTGAACGCCACTTTGCGTCCCTTGATCAAGCCAATAGATCCAAGTAAACCCCTGCAGTTGATCACGCCCAGCATGTCGGTGAGCTTCTGGGTATTGCCCGATGTAAACCTGGAACATTGCCAATTCACGGAAATGGAAGCGGGTGATTCCAGTGGCGAATCCTCCAAGGAGAAGCGCCGTTCATCCCGATATAGCTCTGCCGATCGATTACTCCAGCGTTTGATCGAGGAAACTGCCGTAGCCCGGGGTTCTGTGCAGAGTTCCATCAATCGCAACCGCCGCTTTGTCATTGATAAGGAGGAAACCCCGGGCACCCTGCTCGAGCGCCTGCTGGAGCATTTCAAGGATGACAGTCCGACGAAGAGAGATTCGGACGATGGCAAGGAGAAGTCGGTAAAGCCCCATAAAGCTTTGGCCTGGTTATATCGGGTGCTAGAGCAGACCCACGATCTGGGCAAAAAGCGGGCAAGACGTAGCACATCCAGCTATTCGGGACCCTTCTTCTACAACCGTCAGGGTAAGAAAACGGCATTGACCAAGAAGATTACGGAGATCCGTAAGCCCGAAAGGAAGAACAAGCCCCTCTTCGACTTTGACGAGTTCGATGAGGAGAAGTTCTTTAAGCGGATCGGAGAGAAATCAGAGGAAACTCCCACTTATACCAGGCTGCCAGAAGGTGATGTCCATCTAAAGAATATAGAGAGTGTGGATGGCGAGGAAAACGAGCAGGAAGCTGAGCCAGAGGTACCCAAGTTGCGCCGAACCAAGTCCAAGAACCAGCTGAAGATTATTAAACGAGTTGAGGAGGAGGAAAACAGACAGGAACAGGAGCCAGAGCAATCAGAAGGCGCTGCCAAGTTGCGTCTACTTCCCACGGAATTCTTCGAGGCACTGCCAGCTCCCAAGCCCAATAAGCGATTGAATTTGGGAGCCACCTTGAACTCTCTGCTCTTTCCGGAACCCTTCTCCAGCAGGGCTACCATGGCCAAGGGTACTCCAGCTAAACCTAAACCTGTTGAGGAGCCCGAAGACGATGTAGAACCCGTACCGAGTGCCAGAAGACGGCACTCTAGGATTGGACATGTAGCTAACGATTTTCTGCAGGCACAAAAAGAGCTGGGAAAGCATTTCCTGGGTCACATAAACGAGCATGAGCACGAGTTTTCACTAGGCGATGAGGCCATGCGGGAAAGTTCCCTGGAATCGGGAGATTTTGGAAAGAAATCCCCTGCTCAGGACCTATTTGGAACCAAGAAAGCAGCCCCAGCTCTGCATAAGAATCTTCCCCAGAAGACGGCCGACGAAGGGATCACCACCTCTTGGTGGGATCTACCTGCAATGCGAAGGCGTCGTGCCATACCGCCTAGCAATTCAATAGAAGAACTCCGCTCCAATGGCATAGACAAAGCGGATCGCGAGGAGATGCTGCCCCTGGGCAGGTACACCTTCTATGAATACAAGGTGGATCAGAGTTCAGAGAAGGATGCCAGTCAACCCAAAGAGGAGAAGGAGTCCAAGATCATGAAGATCAGCAAGACTTCTGGCAAGGATCGCAGTATAACAGCCATCTCTGAAAGTCTCGTGAGCTCTGTTAAATCAAAGGTCTCCCGCTTCATCAACATCATCTCCAACCACATGAACGAGTGGTACAATACCCTAACCAAGCACCTCGATGCGGACACAGAACCCCAAAAACACGCGTAGGCAAAACAGCATCGAGAAGTAGAAACATTTATCTTACGAAATTTAAATAACTTGTGTAAACTATCACCATTAAAACGTAATGTAAATATGTACTATTCTTAGTGGCATTTAATGGAACCTTATTTGTGCGATAACTCTCAGAGAATTATCTCTTTCAAATGAAAAACACAGGACTTAGGCAACAAACTAGATGGGCTTAGACTAAGCTTTTGATAGATTATTGAGCTTTCTATTTTATACCTATTCAAATACTACTTAATTAATAAAAAGAAATACAAAAAATAATATTAGTTTTTTTTTTAATAGAGCTGTATAGAAGTATGAAGTATTTATAAAAATATTTAGTAGCTAAGTAATTACATCTATTTTTACGAAACCCTTTTTTAAATAAGAGGAATAATTTTTAGTAGTTTCCTAATTACTAATATTTACCTTTTAAACCATTACCATAAAATCTAAGAAAGTATATTGGTGAAATATTCACAAATTTTAAGAAACCTAAATTCAAATCAAAGTACCAGCAGTTGCATATACATTTTATTAGCTAAATTGTTTTCCCCTTTTCGTGATTCCCTTGAGTTTATCGTATCGTAATAACTTTTTGGTTATTATAAAAATTAATTGCAGGCCATTATTTTTTACATAATTTCAAATCCATTATTTTAGTCGCATAACGACTGGAAAGCTTTGCGAAGCTCCCCACAGGTGGCTTTTCTAGACTGGCTTTCTTGGTGCCCACTCCCCAGATCTTTCTCTTATTGTTGGTAACTAGTTTTTCTCCCTCTTTGCTTCGCTCTTTCTCGAAATGACCCGCTTGTAAAGACGGGCGCAAAGAGGAGCCATGAAAGCGGCTAACCTGTTACCATGGCTATAACTGAAATAACAAAATCATCGCGACTATGGCAATGCAATACCAACCGGTGGAGACGATCGCGCATTCTCCGCAGCCTCGGCTTTATAATCGGAATTCGGATTTCAGTCTCCGTGCGATCGTTCAAGGCGAAGGTTGTGGCAAGCTTTTGGATCTACCAATTTCTATTCGTTCCGCAGATAGTCCAAAGTGCAGACCAGACCAACAGCAGTTGCAATAAATTATAGATCAGCCAAGAGCCAAAACAGGTGAGTGTGCACTAAAAACTTGTCTCTGGCTGGCGAAAATCAGCGAACAGAAGCCGAAAACGGGTCAATTTGTATAGGTTTTATATATAGACCACTTTGAGACTGCATTTAGGGCGGGGTTCTTTTGGGGAAGATCGGGGATGGGTTTCTTGAGCTGTGCATGCAAGCGTAACCAGAGCCAGTCTTTGAGTCTTGAGGAAAGCACTCGGAAATCTTTGTGACGTGGACAGCGAAAAATAACAAAAAGAAAAAAACCAGAAACTCAAAACTACATGAAACTTCAGACTTTCTTTCTTTCTCAACCTTCTTTCGTTTTGGCTGCCAATGAACTTTGTTGTTATGTTTTTTTTTGTCGGCGTTTCATCATAATAAGCCATAATTACGCACATGTGTGAAAGTGAAAGTGTAGATTTTCACAACAGCACCCCAAAATCGATTTTTGACAGGCACTGATAGATGCTTGGAATTGTGAAAACCTTCGCCGACTGACCGATAACCGAAAAATTGAGTCCCCAAACCCCAAAACCAAACTCGTTTAGTTTGGCCATAAGACATAAGACGTCTGGCCTTCGCTGCCTTCGATATTATATAATCTGATTTGCATGTTGACACGGATATATACATATGTAGTATACACACCTCGTAATATTTATAGGATGGGTATCATCTTTGGTTGGCTGCCAACCGAGCACTATGTGCGCGACATCATCCTCATGACTTTATTGGCCGCCATAGTGGCCACATTGATGAGCATTCGGTTCTATCTGCGCATCACGGCGGGCCGATGTTTCACCGAGGTAACGAATGAACCTCCCCCAATCGCCAAAGCCCAATCCCAGTAACCATGATACCCAAAAATTAAGACTGATAGATCCCCACGCCCAGAAATCGTGACACGACTCCAATATTTCTTTCCTTTTTTTGGGTTTTCTTCCTACTTCCGCAGCGAATTGTTTTCAAATCTTTAAGATGGGGTCGTCATATACATACAAATTATATTGGTTACCTCTTGAAAGACAGTGAAGTGTATTTATGGTTGGTCGACTTTATTACTATATAATTTGGTCACTAAGCCAAGTTCACACAGATAGAGTGAAACCAAATTTGGCTAAGGTTTATATCACAAAATATTCTCAACCCTAGTTGGTTCTTGTTGAGAATTTTGTGATATAAACCTTACCATTTTATTTAAATGTAAATATTAATTAGTAATATTAAATCCATATTCAGATAATCACTAACGATATTTAAATAAAATGTATTAAGGTAATAATATTTATTGGTGATTAACACCTTTTAATATATACTCAATATTTCTAGTGTCTCCAGCTAAGCCCTAGGAAAAACCCCCATTGAATTAAACAAATTCTGTAGCCTGTCATATATTCCAACTAAGTCCAATATAATTACTATGAAATCACTGCTTGTAAATGGTGGCACAATCTTGTTATTATATTGGTCACTTGCGACGCGTCGACTTAATTACAGATTTAATTAGATACTTTCTGAGAGATGCGACTACGTCACTTCTCTGAGATACTATTTCCACCTGACAGTACATTGTCTAGATGCCACAAAACATCTAAGCTTTAGCATCTCGGTTACAATCTGGGCGATCGCTTACCTGTGATTCACAGAAAGCTCCCGACTCGTACGGCAATTAAGAGACCCGTTAATGGGTATAAAAACTAAGATACTTTCCGTTCCAGACGAACTGCGATTACAGTGACTGTGACCGAGCGCCTACTAATTACTATTGTACACATATTTCCGAACCGCCCCAGAATGTGTCAATTTTAATCGCAGCCTCCTATTAACTGATTAACCTCTGACACTGATTTCAGACAAAGATGGAGGGCAAGACCGTTATCATCACTGGCGCCAACAGCGGAATTGGCAAGGAGACGGCCAAGGATTTGGCAGGACGTGGAGCCCGCATTATTATGGCTTGCAGGAACCTGGAAACTGCCAATGCTGTGAAGGGTAAGTCTGTAAAAATATCCAAAACCAATTGCTTAATGATTTCATAAGACAAAAACATGATCTTAAAGTATATTTCTATTACTTGTAAAAGTATTTAGTTTTGCTTGATGATTTTGTAAGACAAAAACATGATCTTTATTTAACTAATAGTTCAATAATTTTAGTATTTTATATAATTAAAAATAATTTCAATTTGCTGAATTAATTAAGATTAAAATATATAGAAATATATAATAAAATCTTAAAGGGAGTTTTAGGGGTTTCTTTATTAGTGAGCCATTTTTATAATACATAAAGCTTTGCTTACATTTTTTGACAAGAATCAAAGTGAAATTCCAAAGTAATAGTTGATTTTCCTATTGACAGATGAGATCGTCAAGGAGACGAACAACAGCAAGATCCTGGTCAAGAAACTGGACTTGGGCTCCCAGAAGTCCGTGCGGGAGTTTGCCGCCGACATCGTGAAGACGGAGTCCAAGATCGATGTGCTCATCCACAATGCCGGCATGGCCTTGGCCTTCCGTGGACAGACGAGTGAGGATGGCGTGGAGCTGACCATGGCCACCAATCACTACGGCCCCTTCCTGCTGACCCACCTGCTCATCGATTTGCTGAAGAAGAGCGCACCGGCTCGCATTGTGATCGTGGCCTCGGAGTTGTACCGCCTGTCCTCGGTTAACTTGGCCAAGTTGAACCCTATCGGTACCTTCCCGGCTGCCTACTTGTACTACGTGTCCAAGTTTGCCAACATTTACTTTGCCCGCGAGCTGGCCAAGAGGCTGGAGGGCACCAGGGTGACAGTTAACTTCCTGCATCCCGGCATGATTGACTCGGGCATCTGGCGCAACATTCCCTTCCCCTTGAACCTGCCCATGATGGCCATTACGAAGGGATTCTTCAAGACCACCAAGGCCGGTGCCCAGACCACCATCTATTTGGCCACATCCGATGAGGTGGCCAATGTGTCTGGCAAGTACTACATGGACTGCAAGGAGGCCACCCTCAATGCCGCTGCCCTGGACGAGGAAAAGGGTCTCAAGATCTGGGAGGAGTCCCTGAAGATCGTCAAGCTCACGCCCCAGGAACCCAAGATCTAGTCGGTTTTTCCGGGCTGAAAGCTAGTATACAGCGTCTATGCGCAATTAACTGATTTGCTTTTCTTGTTATTAAGGGGGAGTTTACTGTAGACTAAGTTTTTCATCTCAATAAATACAAATTTGGAAAAAAAAAGTTTTCTTGCATTTCGTAAATTGCTGCAAAAATTTAGGATCTTAAATCCGAATACCTTTACATCTGGGTTTTTATTCAAAACCAAGCAAATGATTTATGATCTAAGCTTGTATTTCAAATGCAATTTTTTTTAGCTTATTGTTTTACCCTGTAAAATAAAGTCTAATGACTTTTAAACACAGAGTAAACCAAATTCTGAACAGAGAATTGAATGAATGTGCTCGAATAAATTTTTAAATTGAGCAGATAGCCATCCTGAACAAAACGTTTCAATTTCGGTTCATGAGAAATGCTGAGAACGGCAAATCACAGCGCCAATCGGGTAAAGTAACCCGATACACATGGAGAAGGGAGCAAAAGCGGGGAAAGCCAAAAAATTCTCACACAAAATTTCGCCGGACTCGGTCACCTGTTGATGGGGGTGAGGGGTGGAATCCCGGGAGGACTCCCAGGGGGACTCCACCGGCAGACATAATCTGATAAAATTGCAGTCGCATCCTTTGCTGGTTGTCACCACTTTTGTATCTTAACGTGTAGAGGGTTGCGGTTGTTCGCTTTTGGGTAGATTATTATCAGCTACTCGACGGGCACGTGACCTGCTCGATGATGATAGTGCTGATCGGTGGCTAATAATATGTTAAATGGCGTAATTGAAATTTAATATTTATGCAAAGGATTACAGGATAATCATTTGCGGTTCGCCAAAATGGCATTAAAGATAGCGGAGCGTGCGGCACCGCAGATAATTGAGGGACAAAACGCCCTTAATTCGCTACTGTGAGAAACTTATTCATCATCAATTAGATCTTCTCACAGCATTTGTTTCCCTAATAAAAAACAAACAACGAGTGCGTTTTTATTGGCTTGTCTCTGTCCTTCAGGATGCCAACTCCATTGATAAGGAATACCAGTGGTGAACCCTTCTGGTTCTGCCCCCTCTTTGTTTTCCCAGAAAGTATCGCCTTACAAATTCAATTTGGCGCGCTTCACTCAAGTGTACTCACATCCAAAAGGACGAAAGGACATTGCTGTGGCCAAGTTCAGCTGTAATTCAAGTAGTTGTCTCCTTTTCTTGGGGGAGTCCTTCGGCGTACTTATACTTCTCGCCGAGGGTTTGTAATAAGTCGCGCGCATTTAATAAGCTGGCTTAGGTTTTTAATAAGAAGTGGGTTATGCGACAGTCCCGATCCCGGCTCGTCCAGCTGTCAGGACTGCAGTTCGAGTTCGTCCTTCTCCATCCTGTCCAGCAAATGTCAACTGGCAACGGCTGCGCCTGTCACGCGGTCATCGATACCCTCCATCGTGAGCGGGGGCGTGGGCTGTCGGCCCAATTGCACTCACAGATGTCCCAAGGACTCCAGTTCCAGAACTTTTCAGTTCCCACTAAGACAGGGCATATCATAGAAACCATATAGAGGACGTCAGCTGTAGATACTATCTACTAACTATCTCCAAACTAAAACTAAAAGTAAAGTTTTTATATCCTTGAAAATGTATATTTCATCTGATAAATTAAGAACGTTGTTATTGTATAAAATATCATTATTATTTCGAATAAGCCACCCAGGAAACAGCCTTTTACCAAGTTTAATCAAACTTAAACTTCTATGAAAAAGTTATTCTTCTACTTTTAAGAAAATGTTTGTTGAAAGTAAGTATTTTCACTAAACTAGACACATCTTTTACAATTCGTATGCGATACAAACAACCTTAAGAACTTTTTATTCTTTAGTCATTTTATATCATTAAAACCCAAAGTTAAAATATTAATTTTAAAATATGACCAAATTTTCTTATTTGTTTAAACTTGGTGCTTATAAATAATTTCATTCTATCATATTAATTTGTCATATATATTAGTAAGGATGTATACGTGCTCATTTTTAAATACAAACATTTGTTGGTCTAAAGAAATATCTCAAAGCGTATTTTGACAGATTTCAAAATTTGTAACTATTAGTTTTGAACTTGGGTTATCCAGGGTCTTACAAAAAGAGATCATTATTTGCTTTTACTATTGTGAAAACTCTAAGAAATGTTAATGTTTCTATTGCTAGCCATCTCCGACTGCCTTACCCCCCTTTTGACCAAGTTGTGCTTAGCTCTTTTCAGCCGGCATCTAATATGGCCGAATGGCATTAACATGTTGAATGACTCGAGTGGCAGCACAGAAAGCAAAGCGCAGCCAAAACCAGGAGAAGCCCCATCAGTGCCGCCCGAAAAGTATTTCATTGATTTTTGAAGCCTCGCCAATACACAACGGAATACAGAGCGGCGAAGGCAAATGAAATGAAATGAAATGAACCGAACAGAAATGTTCTCGTACATACAGTGCAGAATGGAAACGAGTGAAATTTGCGTTGCTGGTGGCAACATGGGAATTGCTGGGAGGGAAGGGGAGTCATCAGGATCATGTCCTGCCATTGTTTGTCAAGTTAAATACGCAAAACAAACAGAAGCTACCGATGAGCCTCTGGGCAAACAGTTTCACGTGCGGTGATAAGGTGGTTGATGGTTGATGGGCTGGTGTGATAACAGGTCTCTAACAGAGGGTGCTCAAAGTTATTTACCCTTCGGCTTAATTTGTAGCAAACTCACAGATTCATTAGCTTTTGCGGTCACTCGAGGGAAGCTGTTGCTCCGGCGGTTTGATCAGCTGACACCTGAACACACCTGAGGGATCGCTCTAATTGTTATTGATACCCGGATTGACTTGGCTACCAGCTACCTCAAGGAACGGATCCTAATCCGTTCTGACAATCGGCAGCAGAGACTCGGCTCATGTCCTTAGCCAAGTTGTTGACATGAAACCGACACCGAAAACGAAAAAAAAAGAAACAGAAACTGGTTCGGATCTGATCAGACTGTGGATCTGATTTTAACACACACGACGCTGGCTGGGTTTGACCTGAAATTCCCATCGATAGGGTAAGTCGATATGGGGGATATAGTTCGATATGTGTGCAAGCCCTTGCACTCAACTGATTTTGCCAATTGGCGAATTCATTTTCGGGCGTGTGAACTTTTTCGATTGCATAGGGATCGCTCTGAATTGGGCTTTACTTCGTACTTATCTTGTAAGCTACCTATGTATATCTGTGATAGACAAATGTTTCACAAGTTTCCTTAGCAATTCCATCTGGCTTGTCATTTATTCCCTGTTTTTTTCTGCTGCAACCACAAATCGAACTATCAAATAACATTCAAACTATTCACAATTGTCGGCACGGCGACAAGAGCATCGATCGATAGACAGTCGTCATTGGCCGAGCTACAACTGAGAATCAGCACCGGAGATACAAAGATACGCGCGCAACAGAAGCAGATACACACGACCAGATACAAAGATACAAGTTACAGAAGCAGCCGGGGGTTGCCGACTTGGCCTGATGAACTGCCTCACTTAACCACAAAACAATGGAGCGAAGGAAGCAGAATGCCGACGAAGACGATCAATGGTTGGCAAGTCCATACCAACTACCCCTTATCCCGCCCTCGGAGAACCCTGGCACTGACAAAAACAGTTTGAACTATAAACTTAAACTTAATTGTTGTTTTAAAAGTATTTCTGTAGAAGATTGTTCATTAATTAGATAAAAAAAAAAACAATAATATACTTTAATGTTCTAACAAATATATAAATATAGATGAATAATGAGGAAAAACGGTTTCCTAATAGCTAACAGTAATTAAACCACTGTCAAACAATCGTAGTGTTTACCTTAACGTAAATATATAATTTAATTTTTTACTTTAATGTTCTTGAAAATGTATAAATTATGTTTTATATCTACTATCTATCAATATATTTTCTTTAAAATAGGAATTTTTATTTAAAACGGAAGAAAAAAGGATATAATATAAAGGAACTCAAAGAATCTTTATAATATACCAATTTTAAGAAAACCAAAAATTATTAAAACTTTATACCTTTCTCAGCCCTTATATTGCAAAACGACATTCCATACCTATTATAAACTAAAATCAAAAGGAATATATTAACTCATCTGTTGATTATGATCAAGAACAAGTAATATACACGTTTAAGAGGGTGGGATCCTTCTAGTTTTATAGTTTATATCTTATAAGTGTTTTTAAAGATTCTTGAACAAGTTTAATCAAAAATCCTTAACATCAGAATGCTAAAATCTAAAAATTGAAACTCCAAATGTTTAGCATGGTCTATAAAATATTTATGATTAATATTTTTTTGTATGTGTACTCTTTCTTAGCCCTGTCTGGTCGGTATCTGATGTCGAGCTGTAAAGATATTGGGTGACAAATAAAAACTACTGAAAACTGCTGCCGCTGTTGCTGGTTGCTGGTGGCGATGTTGCTTCTACCGATGTTGCTGGCCACGTATGAATGGGCCTGAAACTCGGACTGGGCGGGATCGGCAATCGAGGAGGGGGCGGGGGCTGTGGTACCAGCCGAGGGGTAGTAGCCGCAAAAGCCGGTAGACGGAGCGCATTGGTTGGCCGACAACGATGACGGCAACGTTGTTGTGGTGGTGGTGGTTGTGGATGTGGATGGATCTGGAGTGGGTATGGCATGGGATATAGTGTAGTATAGTATGGGATGTTATGGTGCGAAGAGGGGGTGTTTCGAGCAAGGGTCTCGAATGTGTAGTGCTGGGTACTTGTGTCATTATATCTGGCAATGGGTGTGAGTGCGAGCGAGATTGTTGTTGCCACATTGCTGCCGTTGTCTTTTGCGCCCTTTTGTCGCTTGTTTATAATTAAGTGAGTATTTTTTTTTTGCGCCCTGCTTCTTCCTCTGTGGTTGTCGCTTTGCTGCCGCTCTGCCGATATGTCAGTCGATATTGGGCCGAGGTGCCTCGAACTGAAACTGACAATTAGTCGCCGTCTTATGCTCCTCGCCAAAAGTCGCTTCTTTCCCCGCACTCAACTCGAAAACTCAAAACTTGCACAACGGCTCCACATCTCAATAAAAATATCTAATCCGAGAACAACGATCGTGTGAAATTACTGCCGCGTCAAAAATCATAAATACTAAGTCTTCAATAGAAGAGATTTAAAAAAAAACGAAAAAAAAGTTCAAGTTTCCTGATTTATTGGTGTTCTTCAGATCATGCAATTTGTGAATCTATTTAAAAGGTGCGAAAGTGAACATCCAATTCGACTAACAATATATGACCTCAAAACTCTTTCGAAATCTAATTGGTGGATATAAGAACGATCAGGATTTCAAAGGAAGCACAAAAGGATTAAATAAATAATTAAAATGCATTTGGAGAAAATAAATTTAAAATGCCTTGACAACTTAGTTTAAAAAGATACTAAAAAAACTTTGTGAACAGTCAAAAAAATCAGTTAAATCAAAAACTGAGGGGGGACTACAATTTAAACAATAATTGTTATTAAAATAATCCGTTTAACAAGGAAAAATTCCTTATTTATTAATGATCTGGCTTTTTTACGAATGTACAGTTCAAAAAACATGAAATAAAAAAAATCCCCAAAAAAGAATTTGGTTCCATTTTCAAATATTCTAAAACTTGATCATATATTTATAACTTAGTGAATTTTTAAAATGTGTTCCTAGTCAGACAAGTTTTTGTAGACATTAAGGCTTACTTAATTTAAGAACACTCTATTGACTATGCCAATAAATACATTAACTTAATTTAGGAAAGTGTTTTGACTTTTTGCAAAATAAGATGACTAATCCCATAGTTGTCATTAAAACAATAGATCAAAGTGGTTCGATTTATACAATATCAGGACCAAATTTTATAGTTTTGTCACTTAATACATTTAAAGGGAAATAAAACGAAAATAAAACTTATTGTTGTTATTAAAAGTGTTTATCAGATTTATCCCTGAGTCAGCTCGTTTGTTGCTATTTGGATGGGTTCTAAAGATACTGCATTATTTGGGAAAGTTTAATTCCTAACAATCTTTTTTATCCTATGTGTTTTAATTGAAATTACAAATATATAAAAAACAAATTAAAAGAGTTTTTAATTGTACTTATTTAAAACGTTATAATAAGCTTTTAAGAACTTCGGCTATATGGTGAAGTATATCAAAATAATTTCTTATCCTCGCCTTGCAGTTGGAAATTAACGCATCAAGATGAAACGTAGAAAAAGCAGAAACAAAGCAACGAGCCCTGAACCCAAACGTTCCAGAACTGGAGTCATGTCATGGGATTGTTATATAAGGGTTCCAAACTCCTGAACATAATTCTGGGTGAGTTTTCACATAGATGCCGGAGCAGATATGCAGATACACAGATACAAATACGCGAGTTGAGAGAGCAAAGCAAATGGCGGACTCTCGTTTCGCTTTTTTCTGCGCGTGTGTGTGTGTGTCGAGGGGCGGAGCTAATGGCACAGTGGTTGTCATGGGATTTAAATGTATCCATGAGATACGAGCTCTTTTCGAGCATCTCCGGCAAACTTCCAGTGGTCTAAATGGTGTTTTTTTTTTTGGCTGCGCAGATTCCCTGGAAGATCAAGAGGGTGGAGCTATGTACATATCGTGCGATGTCTCAAACGGCGGTCCTGTGGAACCAGAGACGGGCTATGTGCCCAACAATCCCCTGTTCGGCTTGGCGCTGGACAGCCCGCAGGTGAGTCCTGGAATCCTTTCGATTTGGATTTAATCTCTCCGGAAAACTCTACGCGTTCGGTTGTGCTTATTGGGCAAAAAACCCCTACTTAAATCGGTAGTTTTTTACTTGAAGTTAGTTCCCGACTTTAATATATAAGTTGATTGTTAAATTATTAAGACATGTTTTTTATTATGAATATTAGTTGTTTATATAAGTTTTTCTTATCGACGCCCATTCCCATATTTACTTAAATCTTTACAAAACTAGAATTCAGGAAAAGTGTTAATTACTTTTCGATATTTTTATGTCGTTATGATAGGAAACACTTTGAGAAAAAGTTATCTTAATTTAAAATAATTCGTTCCGTGGTATTGTTATACAGATTCGGTTTACTCGCAGTTTCTGTCAAACAATAATTAATTATTAAATAGGTATACAATAATATTAAAGTCAATTTTTTGTGAAGAGTTAAACTCTTTTGATAAATAAAATCTGAACTATAAGAAACTAGTCATATAATTTCTTAACCGGTTTGCCTTTGTCTTCATTTCCGTTTCCGTTCGTGCAGCAAGAGTGCGCCGCTTCCTGCGTCGGCTGTTTATCCTGCCAGGGCAGCACCGCCCTGCCCATCTCCTCGCTCACCAGCAGCGACTTCGACTGCGGCGGCTGTTTCGATCCCACGATTGGAGTGGGCGTGGGCGTGGGCATCGGTGGCGGCCACATCCAGATCAGCACCACACCGCCGGCGAGCAGCGGCAACGGGAGCAGCAATCACGGCGCAGGAGGAGGCTCCTCCGGGAACCACGGCTACTGGAGCACCGACGAGATGGCCTCCACATTTCCCGGCCTGCCGCCGCTGGACATTGATCCGCTGCCCAGCCTGTTCCCCTTCTCGCCCTGCGGCGCCTCCTACAACTTCGCCGCCGGAAATCCGCACCAGGCCTCGCTCTCCTACACGGTGCACCCCCACCAGATGCTCATCTCACCCAATTCCCACAACCACGGCCAGATGCACTCGCAGCACCAACAGCACCAGCAGCAATCCCAAAACCAGGCATCGCACATTGGCAACTCGCTCCTCCAAAGCAGCGGTGGCAACAACATCGGGAGTAATGGTGGTCCCAGTGGAGCGGGAAACGCTGCTGCCTGCTACTATGAAACCAGTGCTGGGACCGCTGCACCTCCTCCGTCGACGGCCATGTATCCCAGCATGAGTGTGAATGTCAGCATGAACATGACCATGCACCATGGCTATGGGACGGGGGATGCCAGTGGAGTGCCCATGCAGTGCTCCCAGATGAACTGGACGCCACCGAGCAACTCCTCCTCGGCGGCAGCAGCGGCAGCGGCGGTCAATGTGCTATATCCGCCGCTCCTCAGTCCCGGTCACTATCCCGCCTCGGCCACGTATTCCTTTACGGCGGACTTTCGGGCTCCGGCGCCCACGGGATTGGGTTCCTTGCCACCGCTGACGGTGGGTGAAAAGGAGTCGCCATCGCCACCGGCCAACTCCGCCTTGGGTGGTTACTATCCCACGGGCGTGAGCAATCAGGGGTACACGCCGCCCCACAAGAGTCCCAGCAGTTACCAGGCTGCCGCCCTGGGCCTCAGCCTGTCCGCCTTCGAGGACGAGGAGGACAGCAACGAGGATCTGGACGGGGACGAGGGCAGCAGTGGCGGCGAGATGAAACCGAATTTGTGTAGGTTGTGCGGCAAGACGTACGCCCGGCCCAGCACGCTCAAGACTCACCTGAGGACCCATTCCGGCGAAAGACCGTACCGATGCCCCGACTGCAACAAGAGCTTCTCGCAGGCCGCCAACCTGACGGCCCATGTACGCACACACACCGGCCAGAAGCCGTTCCGCTGCCCCATCTGCGACAGGCGCTTCTCGCAGAGCTCCAGCGTCACCACGCACATGCGCACCCACTCCGGCGAGCGGCCGTACCGCTGCTCCTCCTGCAAGAAGTCCTTCTCGGACAGCAGCACCCTCACCAAGCACCTGCGAATCCACAGCGGCGAGAAGCCCTACCAGTGCAAGCTCTGCCTGCTCAGGTGAGTTCGGGACGGGGATATACACCTTCCATATCCACTGCGGAAAATGGTTTTTGTGGAATTTGGAAAATCCATTGGGATAACTTAAAGATTATTGGCTAAAAAAGTTATTTCAATTAATAATTTCAATTAATTAATTATATTTCTCAAAAATTGGTGATTAATTAGGGTCTTTCAACTAGTGTTTAAAATTTTGTACACAGCCTTTTCTTTACTTATTGCATTTGAAGAAGAAATCTAAAATGTATTATACCATAAACGTTTTCTGAAATTCGACAACAAATGTAACTTCCAAATAGTACCCTAAGCGAATATTTTGTTCTAAGAATTATAAATCAAACACCTTTGCTTCTTAAAATGGAAGTTATTCAGAAGATTTTTCTGATGTATAAAGAGAAATGTAGCTGTATTTCAATTGAATTCAATTTAATTGAAATTTAAGCTATGATTCGGAACACATTCACAAATAAACTATATTTTGTTGTGAGGAATTTAAGTCACCACTATGAATTCCATTACCTGGAAGGTGGACTCGAGTTAATTGCTTTCTTTACCCATTCCCCCACAGATTTTCGCAGTCGGGAAATCTGAATCGGCACATGCGCGTCCACGGCAACAACAACAATAACAATGGGAGCGGCGGCAGCAATGGTGGAACAGGAGTGGCAGGCGAAGGTGCCGGCGGGGGTGGCAGCAACAGCCTCCTCACATGACAAAAGCCACGGAGTGCAGGCGGTTTCCAGCACTACCACCCCCCGCACACACACCATATGCATCACCAGCACCACCAGCACCATCATCACCACCACGCCCACATGGGAAACTACGACTACGGGAATTACAGCATCGGCGATTACACTCCACCCGGAGCCACACAAAACTATTCAGGGTATTATTTCTGCGCACTCAACAAGCCGCCCAAGTTCGAGCGATTCTACTAGGACTAGGGCCTTGAAACTGAGGGATTCATTAGAAAGGTTACCAGTAGGTAATAGATACGGTCCTGGAAAAACCTAATAAAGAAAGTAAAACTAAATAGAAATCTCTGGGGATAACAAGAGATTCCAGTACCATCTTCAACTTGAAAGCTTCTAAAACATAGCATGATAACTATTTAGAGGATTTTCTATAACGAATATAAATTGATCTTTCTGCTGCAATAGAATTAAATAATTCAGTAATTAAAATCTTTATTAGAGGAAATTGGTAATCCCAGGAAATTTATGTATTATGCTGCTTTAGAAAAATGATTAGGTTTCATTTATTTGATAGTATTTTAAATTCGTAATATAGCAACAAAAACTGATAAATCTCGAATAAGACAGAAGTTGTAACCCTTGTTAAACATAAAAATCTAATACTAAATTCCCCAGATCCTAACCCAAATGCAGTTAAAAATGCTCAAATAAACATTTCTGTTGGATCGCGGAGAATCGAACAAATGTAGGCCTAAGCGCTGCACTGTACATATATATACATACTGTATTTATTATATTCGCATAGCATAATACGTATTGAGTCCAAGTTAGATCATCCATGCTAAAATAAGGTAGTTGAAAACACGCATAAATCTATTCCAAATTAGCCAACGAAATAGGATTTAAGTCGGATATGAATACGAATCATAAGACCAACCAACACAGCAGCACCCAAAACGAGAATATTAAAATTGGAATTGTCAAGGAATAATTCACCTAAACCTAAATACGAATATTAACATAGTAAGTTATACCTAGATATAGATGTAAGTCAGGTGCTTTGATTTAAGCCAATTTTTGAGTATATCAAAGAAGATTATGAATAAAATATGAAATTTAAATAACATAATTAATTTATGACTCAAAATATGAACTTAACTAAATGATTGGGTCGAAAATGCTAGTATTCAAAAATACCTTCTTACGGTAGGTACAATGACGGCCCCATTACTCGAACCACAAATAACCAACATAACTCCTTTTGGGAAGAATTTATGAATAAGAACAAATGCTTTACTAACGATTGGAAAATTCTATAAAAATGAAATGACATTACAAAGTTTAGACTTTAGGCAATGTGATCGACTAGGTAAACGGCTTCTGTATCGCCTCCGCAGACCAGACGACTTCCGTGGACATCAAAGGAGTTGACTGCCTTGCGGATGTTGCTTAGCAAGCCCTCGACATCGACCAGGGAACGAACCCGATCGCCAGACAGCCAGGGACTATGTCCGTCCTTCTTGTTTGACTCGCACCCGAGGACCTTGTTCTCCGACCACATCCACACCTCTCCACCCTCTGCGGCGGTGAAGAGTTTGGAGGGATCCTTGCGATGGAAACCGATCTCATTAATAGGACTCTTGTGGGCGCTGAGATAGGAGGCAGGATAGTTCAGATTGCGCAGATCCCACACCGTTATGGAACCCTCCTCGCTGCCACAGAGCAGGATGTGCTGCTGCATGGGATGCGTGGCGAGCGACGAGACAAAGTTCGAGGACTTGTCATCCTGTGAGGCCACCATGAACGTGGTCTTCGGCTGTGCCTCGGTGGCCACACGGGCGTCCAGCATTCGGATAACACCCATCCGGTTGGCGGTCACCAATTCCTGCTGGCTGACATAGCAAACCGAGAACAGTGCCATGCTGTCCGCCTCGATTGTTCGTTTCACCTGGCGTACATTTCCGACAGAGACGATGTTCACACAACCATCCTCCCCGGCTGTGGCGATGTCCGTGCCGTAGACTGAAAGGTCGGTGCATGGGGCAGACTCCTGACTGCGTTGGAAGCAGTGCAGTCTTTCGGACCGAGCCGTGCGCTGTATCTGATCCTCCTCCACAGCTCGTTGAACGTTCAGCACACTGAGATGACCTGGTTAAGAATAAAAAGAATGTTTTACAAATTAGGCTCCCCAAAAAGAAGACCCCGAATCTAACCATCCGCACAGCTGACAGCCAGTGTGTCCTTGTCCACGAACTCCATGGCGGTCACGTCGTCCTCCATAGCCACTTTGTCCATGCAGCGCGGCATCTGGTCTACATTGTCCGAATCCGTGGCGGAGGGGTATTGGTTTGACTGAAGCCTCCAGAGGCGCACAAAGTTCCTATCCATGTCCCAGCTCCCGGTGATAAATCGTTCGCTCTGTTGCAGCTGCTCCGGCAGCCATCGCACCCGGGCCACCTTCTCCGAAATGTAGTGGGTGGACACGTTTGTCATGGACATCTTTTCAGTTAACTTAAGGAGGATTCCGCAATATAAACAAAATTGTGTTTTGGCTCCAATGCGGCTTTCTGGTTTAGTGTGAACAGAATGGGCAAAGCGCATTTAAACTTAGCGGGAAAATCGATCTAGTATTTCATTTTTTCGTAAGGGATGCCCTATAAAAACTTTGTAATATGATAAAAACAAAATAACTCCAAAAAGTTATTAATCTAAATAAATTGAGTTTTTAAAAATCAATTAATTCAAATTTTTGGATCAAATTAAAATTTTAAAATCTAGAGTGAAAATAGCTAAATTCGCATTATGAATTGTTAACTTATGGCGAAAAGTTGGTATTTTTGAGCTGCTGCCACACTATAATTTTGGCGGGAAACATTAGCAAACAAAACATCAAAGAAGTAAAGTGCAGAAACGCGGGTTATGGACAAATACTTAATTAAAATGCCTATTAAATCAAAAACCAATGATGTGTCCAACCAGGTAAGTGAAAATAACAATTTAAACAAATGAGAAATAAAATTTCGTAATATTTTACAGGAGAAAGTGGTCGTGAAAAAGGAGACTCCCAAAATGTCAGCCAAACAAATGAAAAAAGATACTCCAAAAGTGGTAAGGATTTCTATTATATTAGAATATCATATTACAATGAACTACAACTACTATTACTAATTGAAGGACAAGGAAAATACAGGGGAGGAGAATACCCCAAAGCAAACAAAAGCAGGAAGACCTGGTAGACCGGCTACCAAGCGAAAAAATTTAGATACACCAGAAGTGGTAAGAGTTCGATGAAATATGTATATATTCATACATAAATATACAAAACTAATAATGCATGATTGCTTATATAGAAAGATGAGAAGGTTGAGGCTGATAGTGAGAATCCTCCGAAGCGCAGGAGTTCTCGAACCACAAGAAGCACGCGTTCCATGGCAGAAGATGGACCTCCATCCCCAGAAAAGGAAAAGCCCGAGAAGCTACCATTTATCAAGTACAAAGGGGATATCAAGTATTTTACGGAGAGCCAGGATATAGCAGCCTCTGCCGACGATGTTTTGTAAGTTAACAAACAAATTATTATGGCTTAGTATGGCACAATGAATTTATAGCTTGGCTGTAGACGAACTGTATAATTAGATAATGCTAATAGCATGTTAACAAAAGTGAAAAACTAGGCAAACAATTTCAGAAATAGCTTGCGCATAACAGCGGTGCAGAGAAGTATGTATATGCACACATGAGCATTTAACTAGGTTCAAGGATTTTGCCTGAGACATTAACTTATAACTATAAAATAATCTAAAAGAAAACAAATTTTTCCTTTATTCTTCATCAGACAATGGGTAGAGAAGCAGAAGGACGAGGTTGTACCGATGGCCTTTGACATGGAGTGGCCCTTCTCCTTTCAAACCGGTCCTGGCAAGTCCGCCGTCATTCAGATATGTGTGGACGAGAAGTGCTGCTATATCTACCAGCTGACTAATCTTAAGAAGCTACCGGCGGTCCTGGTGGCCCTTATAAATCATCCTAAAGTGCGTCTGCATGGTGTGAACATTAAGAAGTCAGTATAAATACAAAGAAACATGGACAGCTTAAACTAATTGATCCGTAATTTTCCAGCGATTTCCGCAAGTTGGCGCGTGACTTCCCCGAAGTTTCCGCTGAACCCCTGATTGAAAAGTGTGTAGACTTGGGTCCGTGGTGCAATGAGGTCTGTGAGACTGGCGGTCGTTGGAGCTTAGAACGTTTAACCAATTTTATAGCCAAGAAGGCCATGGACAAGAGCAAGAAGGTGCGCATGAGCAAGTGGCATGTCATTCCGCTGGACGAGAATCAACTGATGTACGCTGCCATCGATGTCTATGTAAGTAGAAAGGTATTTTCAAAATAAATCTTTTTCAAAATTGATTTGTATTACAGATTGGTCAGGTAATCTATCGGGAATTGGAGCGGCGCGAGAAGGTAAAGCTCAAAAATGAAGAAGAGTTCAAGGATCAGAATGGAGATGCTGCCTTTAAAGCTGTAAAAGCATTAGGAGAGACTTTTCTGACCAAAATTAACGAGGTGACCCTGTGAGCTGTTTTATACACAAGACTGTTAACATATATGTTGGATTCTTAGGGGTTTTTCCCAGTTTAATATTTTTTCATTTTTACAATCTCAAATTTTTAACTAGCATTAGTTAATGCATTTAATTTAAAAATTTTACATGAAAAGTTATTAATGTTTTGCAATTTGAATAAAGACTTAGGTACCTAATAATTATAGATTTTCTTTTAGATCGCTCTTTCAACATTTCAACTATTAATTATTTTACACCTTTGATTATAAATCGAGCTTATATTTGAGTTTCCCAGAATTATATAAGGATTACAGATTTGTACACTTCTCAACTTGCAATAAATTTTAATTTTGTAAATTCGCATTAAACATTTCTAAACACATAATGAACACAGTTGGAGCTGCCCTTGGAGGCGTCACTTAAATTGCGGGCGCCTGGTGCCGATTGCCTCTAGTTTCCGCTTGAGGAGATCGTTGTCCAGATCAATCTGGCGCTGAAACTTCTTTCGATTCACGGCAGCGCTGGAGAGCCGCGGCGCCGGCTGTTGCTGTCGTTGCTGTGACGACATTGAGGATCAATCTTGGACAGCTTGTCCCATAACATGTACATACCTTTTCGGGGGCGTTAAACTTCAGACTACTGGTGCTCGCTTTGATTGTGGCCGTGGGCTTCACAGTCATCATTTTCCGAAGAAGGATCTGATTCTGTCGCTCGATCTCACGCAGCTGTGGATTCGTAAAACTGTAGCTCTTGCGCCCCAGATTTTTGTAGCTAAACAGATGGATAATTAATATTATAATTGGTCGCCTTAAGTTCAAGAACGCAGTACTCACTTAATCTTATCGTTGGAGCAGCGGGAACGAGAGACATTAATAGGATATTCGCATCCGTCGCTGTTGAAGCTGCTTGGAGTACCGCTGTTTGCTCGCCTGTTCAACTCCTGCGGTCTTCTCTGTTGCGGATGCCTCATAAGGCCATCACCCTGCCCACACTCGTCTACGAGGTAGCCTTCGTCCATTTCCATGCCCAAACCCGTGTTCGCATTCAGACTCTGCCCCAATACCTGACCCATCTCCAGTTCCCTCTCCTGTTGGAGCAGATCTGATTCCGAGGGACACCTGCACTTGGGCCTGATCAGCTTGGAGGATCGAGTCGTGATTAATGCCTCCTGAGAGCGTTGCATACGCATCCTAATCGGGGGTCTTCCTCCTCCCAAGCTTCGGGCACTGGTCATTGCTGATTCCGTCATCGATGGCATCTCGGATTCAGTGTCCTCTCGCCTGTCCCTGCGCTGTTGCATAAGCTCCGTGGCCATGGCAAGCTGCTCGAAGGCTTGGCTGTTGGTCGTTCCTCCATTAATCTGGAAGGACTTCATAATCATCTCCGACATCTGGGTCATCTGCTGCTCCAGGTATCGAACTCTTGCCATATCAGTTTTCTGGCTTAGCGATGTATCGTCATCATTTACGAGCTCATGGAGGCTTTTAATTGGCTCCTCTATTTGATCCTCCTCGGTTTCTGTCCTCTCAATCACTGTTTCGGTTTCCGTTTCGGTTTCTGGCTGCTGCATAATCAAACAAGAGAGAACCCTATAACCCCGAGCCCCCCCACAAAAAAAAACAAAATAAGGAAAAAAAGAAAAAGAAAAAAAAAAAAAAAAAAAAAAAAAAAAAAAAAAAAATAAAAAAAAAAAAAATTAAAAAAAATAAAAAAAAATAAAAAAAAAAAAAAAAAAAAAAAAAAAAAAAAAATTTTATTTTAAAAAAAAAAAAAAAATAAAAAAAAATAAAAAAAAAATTTAAAGTTTAAAAAAAAAAAAAAAAAAAAAAAAAAAAAAAAAAAAAAAAAAAAAAAAAAAAAAAAAAAAAAAAAAAAAAAAAAAATAAATTTTAAAATTTTTTATAATATAAAAAAAAAAAAAAAAAAAAAAAAAAAAAAAAAAAAAAAAAAAAAAAAAAAAAAAAAAAAAAAAAAAAAAAAAAAAAAAAAAAAAAATAAAAAATAATAACTTTTTTAATAATAAAAATATTAAAAATTAATATAAAATATAATTTTTTTTTTTTTTTTTTTTTTTTTTTTTTTTTTTTTTTTTTTTTTTTAAATATATAGTATTTAAGAATTTAAATAATGTAAAGATCCCTTAAAAATTGCATTTAAATTGTATCTAATATTTATTTACCTTCTTTTGGAACCGAGGAGAGTCGTACGCTAGGGTCATGTCTGTCTCATCACCTGGCACGCCCATGGTGGTTACACTGTGCTCGCTGCTGTTGTCGCTGGCATCCACCAGCGAAACAATATCCTCTTGGGGCAGCTGGATGGTCTCCTGCACGGTCTGTTTGAGCACTGCCGTAACCAATGGCTCATCCTCCTCCAGTTGCTCCACTTCCACATCTGTGTCTTCATCCTCATCGCTGCCTTCGGCGAACTGGCGACCATCGTTCGACTCCATGGTGCCATCGCTTTGGGCACCGTCTTCGTTTTCTTGAAGTTCCTCCTCCTCCTCGACTTCCTCGACTTCAGCATCCTCATCCTCTTCGTCGTCCTCGATCTCGTCCTTAGCCGGGGAATGGGCACTGCCTGGCATCAGAGTGCGCACCGAGGGCGTCTCGTCGTCCAGAGGCGTGTCCAGTCGC